AGTACACATGGTAAGATGGGACACCCTGACCCCCAAAGATTTGCTCGTTTTCTCAAAACCACTCATGCATCACCGGCAGTTATTGCAGGGGCACTGGATTTTCAATGTGACGCATGCATCGAGTTTTAACGAGGCTTTCAGCTGTCGCGACCGGCGGCCATTCATGATGATTTGGGGTTCAATGAAGTTTTGGGAATGGATATGGCTTTTTGGAAGGGTAAGAATGGGGTATCTCATGGTTTTGTTCATTTCATTGATGAGGGGACCCTGTTTCAACAAGCTGTTCCGTGTCGTGAAGATGCTCAGTCACAATATAAAGCGTTTTCTACCACCTTGCTTAATTGGGCAGGACCCCCAAAAGAGTTGTACTTTGATCCAGCAACGGAGTATGTTTCAGAAGAATTTCTGGGGAAGCTCCAAAGCCAGGGTATTGCCCCAAAAGTATCAGCCAGGGACAGTCACTGGCAATTGGGCCGAGCCGAGATCCATGGTGCCATTTTGAAACGAATGTTAGATCGCATGGATGCCGAAACACCAATTGAAACTCCGGAGCAGTTTCAAGAGTGTCTCATCCAAGCTGTCTGTGCGAAAAATGCATTGTCAAGGGTAAAGGGCTACACACCTGAACAAGCAGTTTTGGGGATATCAAGGAGGCTACCTGCTTCTGTTGTTTCAGACACGTCCCAAGCAAGTCACACAATGGCAGCGGATGTGTCACCGGAAAGTGAAAGGTTTCGTGCGGCACTGGAAAGGCGAAGCCAAGCCAGAAAGGCGTTCATTGAGGCTGACAATTGCAGCAGTCTTCGCAGGGCTCTCTTACGTAAAACAAGACCAATAAGAGAACCATATGAGGAAGGGGATTGGGTATTGTACTGGAGGCGTAGAGGTGGCAATATGAGAAGAGAGAGGGGTAGGTGGTATGGACCTGCCAGGATTGTCCAAGTTGAGGGTAAGCGGGTTGTTTGGTTGGTTCATGCAAATCAGGTCGTGAGAGCAAGCCCAGAACAATTGCGACCTGCGTCCAGTAGAGAGTGGCGAGCTGTACAGCAAACAGAAGAGGCCATGCATCCCGTTAAGGAATGGCTGCAGAAAATTCGTGCAAAAGACTTCTTCGACCTGGAAGCCGAAGAACTTCCGGTAGATGAAGATGACCAAGGAGATGGGTCAGCGGTTCATCAGCCAGAGGATCCACCGTCGTCTGGGTATACACCATCTATTGGGGAACCCGAAAGAGAGATAACAGTAGAGGGAGGGGATAACCCTGAAGAGGATTTGGTCCCGGGGGATCTAGGTGGCTTGGGAGTTCATGTTGACACCAACGACGAAAATGCTTGGTTTGGGGATATGTTGGATTTCTGGGAACCGGACCCGTCAAAGATTTGGGAAATAGATATCACCCCGCCGAACATGAATGAGACATGGGAAAGTTCTGAACCATCTGAAGTAGTCATGTTGGCCACTGATCTTCGAAAGAAACGGGTAGAAGTAAACCTTAAAGAACTGGAGGAGGAAGATCAACTAAGATTTACAGCAGCCAAGGACAAAGAAATTCGTGCATGGCTCCATCACAAAACAGTGCAGAAAGCTGCCAAAGGCAGGATTCCCGACCATGCGGTCATGCGGTGCCGATGGCTGTTGACTTGGAAAGGGCCAAATGGGGATGAGCCACCAGGGGAACTAGCCATGAATGGAAAGAAGGCAAAGGCCAGACTAGTGATTATTGGGTATGAGGATCCAGACCTTAGCACCATAAAGAATGACAGTCCAACCCTTTCCAAGGACGGCCGACAGACCGTACTCCAACAAGTGAGTAGTCACCAATGGCCGTTAATTTCCTTTGACATCAGTACGGCATTCCTCCATGGAAAAGGGGATGGCCGGCATCTGGGAATCCACCCACCAGAGGAGCTCCGTGAAGCTCTGTCAATGGGTGATCACGATCAATGTGCACTCAATGGGGGTGCCTACGGTAGGGTAGATGCACCATACTTGTGGTTCTGTGAGTTGAGGGATGAGCTGTTGAGTCAGGGGTGTAAACAGTGTCCATTGGATCCCTGTGTGTTTACATATGGAAAGCATGATCACCAAGGGAAGTACATACCTCTGGGTCGTCTGGGAATTCATGTCGATGATGGCATCGGCGGGGGTTCTCCGGAGTTTCTAGAGATGCTGCGCAGGGTGGAAAAACGTTTCAAGTTTGGAACCTTCGAGACAGGGGAGTTCAAATATACTGGAATCCATTTTAAACAGTGGGATGATGGAAGTATTGAGTATGATCAAAAGGCGTACATCGAGAAGATTGAACCAATCGTCATTCCCAAAGAACGTAGGATCCACCAGGAAAGCCCTGTCTCTGAAGAAGAAAGGAAAGCCCTCCGCAGCTTAATTGGGGCACTTCAGTATGCGAGTGTTCATTCAAGGCCGGATATCAGTGCAAAAGTTGGAGAAGTGCAAGCAACTGTAACAAAGGCGACAGTTGCGGACCTGATACAGTGTAATAAAATTCTCCACGAGGCAAAGTCTCATCCAGTGTCACTGATGATCCTGCCGATTGCCCCCAATGAGGTGACACTATGTGCCTTCTCAGATGCAAGTTTCATGTCAAGTAAGCACAGTACTGCACATCAGGGGACCTTCATTTTCACAACGACTCCAAGGATGTTGGAAAATCAACAGGCAATAGTGGCTCCCATTGCATGGTCGAGTAAAAAGGTTCCACGGGTCGTTCGATCAACCCTCAGCGCTGAAGCAGCGGCATTGAGCAACACTGTAGATAGATTGCTGTGGTTGCGGATGCTGTGGGCATGGGTCAAAGACCCTGACTGTGAGTGGGGAAATCCGGAGGATGTCTTGGAAAAAGAAAACAAAGCTGCAGTTGTGACAGACTGCAGATCCATGTACGACATCCTAACTCGAACGGCAGTTCCAAGTTGCAGCGAGTACCGAACAACAATCGAGTGTTTGTTGTTGAGGGAGCGTTTGAAGTCCAATTGTGATGTCAGGTGGGTGACGAGTCAAGCGATGCTTGCTGATTGTTTGACTAAAACAATGGATTCTTCGGTACTCCGTGAATGCTTGAGAACAGGAAAATTGCTCTCTTTTTGATGAGGACCAAGTCCTTAAACAAAGAGCTGACGGACGTCAGCGACTGAAGTGGATCAGGGAACACCAGAATGGAGAAACTGAGCCTTCAGAAACTTTGAAAGGTGCAGAGCATGAGCAGGCATATACCAATGTACAGAACAGAACCTAAGGATTTTTGGTGTCTAGGTCCTGGAAAGCAAGTGCGGCGAATCCATGTGGTTCCAAGAACTCGACGTTTTGTCCCTATTAGGGTTACTGATTGTCCTGTCAGCATTAAGTGTTTATCTGCTTGTCGGGAAACTCGAGTAAAAGGTGGGAGAGTTGAGAGGGATTTTTGGACAGGCACACGTGAGGCTGCACGTTTTCCATCACCATGGACTGGTGAAACCATTTTCTATCAGAAGTCGGAACAACCAAGTTTTGGAAAAGAGAAGGTGTGTGAAACTGCCTAGTTTCTGATAGAACCTGGGAACACATTCCATTTTCCCGAATCAGCTCGGGTGAACTACGTGCTCCTCGCCGCCATCAAGGGTGGGAGGGCTGTGGAGCTTGCATGGCATACGGAGGAAGGAAAAGAAGTCAAAGGGGTTGACTTTAACAATATATATATATATACATGTATAATAATATAATATAATTCTATATACATATTAAACGAATATATATATATATAGGTAGATATACAGATGCATACATAACTTAACTATATGTAGTATCATATAGTTGTTTTCTTTCTTAGTGAGAAATAGGTGCAACTTGACTGGCGCAACTTGGTCAGACTTGTGTTTGAGGTGGCACCGCATTGATTGAGAGTCAAGAAACTCGGAAAAAAAACTGCCCCGTTCAGTCGCATACAATGCATGACATGTCACTGTCTCGATGTTTCGTTCTGCTCCTTATAGATCGCACTGCATTATAGCTCATCGCAGTGCATTGTTTGCTTTGGCGAATTCCAGTTACAAATGTCCTTGCATGTTTTGCGAGCATGACCCAGAAAAAGAACTGAAACAACCAAAGTCCACTTACAGCGTACTGTAAGCAAATCCTTTCTGCAACGACTTTCCCAAGACAGATTGGTTGGATCCGTGGTACTTGTGTAGGTTTCGTATTTGGGGAATGCATGATATGAAACCAAAGAAACAAACTATAGTAATTGATTAGAGATAATTAGATGGTATAGTGATTTCCTGCATCTCACACCAATTGCACGCTTTGCCTTGTGATGCCTTGGGGTAAATATGGTAAATGATGTATAATGATGGTAAATGTCGAATTGGGGCACCTTGCGGATGTCTGATGATGTCTGAAAAGGTAACACAAGCCGATCCTCTGCGGGTTCTGATCTTTGCTGATTGGCCCAGCTCGCCATGTTGGAATTTACACGTCTTGTGCGAAATCCGGTACCACCCTTCTATGGACTCCCATGAATTCCAGAAGACCCTGCAGCCGCTTCCCACCTGTGCGTCAAGGAACCATTGGACCTGAAGCACAAATCAACGGATTGCATGTGGATCCAGAATGATCCAGGTGTGGTAGGTTCATGCCATTTCTTCGAACCCATCCAAATCCGAAGTCCAAGTACAGCAACTAAAGGCTCGACACCAGTCAACCATATTTGGGGACACTTCGTCTGTCTCTTAATCTCTGCGCTGGCAGTTTTGTGCCCTGGCAGGCCAGAGTTTGATGGATTCCCCTACCACATGAAATCCGCAATTCATCTCTTCACAATGGATGCATCCTTCTTCATCTGACATGGTCAAAAGGATCCCTTGCACACCTCAGAACCCTGGAGGTGCTCTTGCCATGCTTCAACTCTAGGAGTTTCGTCAACCTGGGCCAAGTGTCAACACTGTGTATGGGTATCATTTAGATTCATTATCATTCATCTACCTCACCTATCCTCACCTCTATCATTTCTCACCTCTTTTCAGACCCCCTGGTGTGCAAAACAGGCAATTGAGCCAGCGGGTCTCGAAGGTTTCCAGATCTCTTCATCCCTGGTCATTGCCAGTGTCTTCTGTCATGGTTTTCAATAATTCGCTGAACGAGGTTCAGGAGTCAAGAGTAAACCACGGCATTACATAGAGAATGCACAACAGTTCACCTGGATTGGCTGAGACTGCTGCAAAATTGGTGTTAAAAATGTGACAAGTCTGTAAGCAAAGCTACACACATGCCGCATGCCCACAAGTCACTAAGTCTAAGCTTGAACGCTACTAGGCATCGGCCATCGCTGCGATGTACTCAGCACTCATGATTCAAGCCCTGCCGCACTGAAACCTGTTTGTTTCAGTGAAGCAAAAAAGGCCTTCCTTTTCTAGTCTACGCACCTCCACAATATCTGCCCAAATCTGATCTTCGGAGCCAGCCAGCGCCAACATGCCAGCACAGGTGAAAGCGTCCACAGTGACTTCTACTGCAGATCCGGGTGAAATAGATGTGTGCAATTCGAGGAATGAATCCATCTTCTTCATCACCTCGTAGGCTGGTGTGCTTGCCACAATGCCAGAAGAATAAGAGATGAGAAACACCATCCGACCTGAATCTTGAAAGGGTTTGGGGACATCAGGCAAGGCATCAAAGCGCTTCTGGTCCATGCAATCAAGAACCGCATCAGCATGTGAAGTCCCAGTGAGCAAACGTGCCAAAGAGATATAGGAGCCGTTGGCACCCATGATCCTCACGTTGACTTCAATAAGACAGGGACCATCAGCCGTCATCATGACTTCTGCGTGGGTCGCGCCGTTCTGAATGTCCAATGCATCAAGCACTGAACGAGTGTATGGGATCAGATCACTTGGACACTCCTTGGTCTCCACTGGACGCATTGCTAGATAGACAAAATCACCACCATTTGCCGGTTGCTTCTCATAGACCCAAGTCATGACAGTCTTGTGCACTCCATCCCGAGATACATGGTCCACCGCATACTCCTGGCCAACCAGAAATTCCTGGAGCAGAATTGCATGGTCAGAGGACGCAAGTTTTCTCTGTGTGGCTTGCAAGTGTCTGAAATGCTCCTCTACTGCCTTCATGGAGTGGCAAAGTTTGACTCCATCCGTGCCTCCAGACTGCACCGGCTTCACCACCATAGGAAGCCCCAATTCCCTGCAAGAATCTCTCACCTCTTCCCATGCACAGCCACAAACTTCACGAATGGCACGGCAACCAGCAATTCCTTTGAGCACACTGCCCTGCACATGTTTGTTTCGGCGGTCACCTGCGGGAAAAGGTCGGTTCCCAGAGCCATTCGCAAGAAGGCCAAGCCAAATGGAAATGAGATCCGCCAAGTTGACACCAAATTCACTGCCAGGAATGCAAACTATAATTGCAGAGCCTGGACTGAGAGCACCTTTGATTGCCTTCACAGTTTCAGGAATGGAGACTTGCTCTTTGACTGCCTTGTAGACTCCTTTGCGGCCTTTGCGGATCATAGGCAATGACTCTGCGTGTAATGACTCTGCGTGTTCTTTACTCCACAAGACGAGGACCCCGAAGCCGCGAGACAACACGATGTCCACCAGAAGCGCTCCAGCGGAAACAGGGTCAACCAGCACAACCACAGGTAGGGCCTCCATTGATGGAAGGGTTTACGCTACCTTGACAAACCGGTAAAAAACAAAAAGGCCTTGAGCCATGTAGCACATATAGAAACCGATCAAATCGATGAAAATGACTGGACTGGGTCAGGGTGAATGTTCGCCAATGTTTGCCAGGGCAACAGGACCAGCTGGGGGCCCTGCACATAGAAGACTCGTGATCTCCAAGCCTTCCGCTTCACCTCGAGAAAATCTGGGCACTGGATCTGCCTGGATCTGCCTAGATCGGGTCAGCTGAGAACCAAACATGTGCACCTTGTCCCACGCCTGCCACGCAAAAGAGGCGGAGACCCAAGGGACGCCAGGGCGTGCATCCAACCCCTTGGCAGTGCACATTGTCCCACGCCTGCCACGCAAAAGAGGCGGAGACCCAAGGGACGCCAGGGCGTACATCCGAGCCCTTGGCAGTGCAACGCAAAAGAGGCGGAGACCCATGGGACGCCAGGGCGTACATCCGAGCCCTTGGCAGTGCACATTGTCCCACGCCTGCCACGAACGAGCGAGCGAGCGAGCGAGCGAGTGAGTGCTGAGTGAGTGAGTGAGTGAGTGAGTGAGTGAGTGAGTGAGTGAGTGAGTGAGTGAGTGAGTGAGTGAGTGAGTGAGTGAGTGAGTGAGTGAGTGAGTCAGTGAGTGAGTCAGTGCGTGAGTCAGTGCGTGAGTCAGTGCGTGAGTCAGTGCGTGCGTGCGTGCGTGCGTGCGTGCGTGCGTGCGTGCGTGCGTGCGTGCGTGAGTGAGTGAGTGAGTGAGTGAGTGAGTGAGTGAGTGAGTGGAGTGAGTGGAGTGAGTGGAGTGAGTGGAGTGAGTGGAGTGAGTGGAGTGAGTGAGTGGAGTGAGTGAGTGGAGTGAGTGGAGTGCGTCTTGGTGTGAGTGGAGTGTCGAGTGGATGCGTGGAGTGGAGTGGAGTGCGTGGGTGTGGCGTGGCGTGGTGGAGCGTGGTGGGTGCGTGGGGTGGGTGGAGTGTCGTGGAGTGGAGTGGGTGGAGTGGCGTGGAGTGGGTGAGTGGATGGGAGTGGGGTGGGCGTGGTGTGGCGTGGTGGGGGGGTGGGTGGCGTGGGGTTGGGTGGTGGTAGGGTGGGGTGGGGTGGGCTGGGCCTGGTGTTGTGGGTTGGGTGGGGTGGGGGGGTGGGTGGGGTGGGGTGGGGTGGGGTGGGGTGGTGGGGCGGGGGGGGGTGGGTGGTGCGTGGTGCGGGTGCGAGCGTGGGATGTGGGTGGGTGGGTGGGTGGTGAGTGGGTGGAGTGGAGTGGAGTGGAGTGGAGTGGAGTGGAGTGGAGTGGAGTGGAGTGGAGTGGAGTGGAGTGGAGTGGAGTGGAGTGAGTGAGTGAGCGCGACCACGCCCTCGCCAGAAAGGCTGCCGCTGCGTCCAAAAGGCAAGAAGAAGCCCACGAGGACAGGGTCGTCGGCCTGCTCGCCAAAGCAGGCCCCGGAGATGAGCCCTGGGTGAGAAAGCACGCCCGCCCGTGACCAGGGCCGCGCTGGAGGCATGGCTAGACTGCGAGAAGGTGCGCAAGAACACTAACCCCATGCAGATCCAAATGCTCTGACTGGTGGTGGATCGCTGGTGGAGGCCGGCTTGGTCAGCAGCGAGCAAGCCCTGCGAAAAACCACGGATCCGCTGCTGTGGCTGTTGCACGGGCCGCCTGGAACGGGAAAATCCCACGTGCTGGGTTTCATCCGAGAGCTCTTCGATATGATTGGCTACACCTACGGCCTCGACTACGAGGTCGCCGCGTTCCAGGCCGTCAACGCCGCCGACCTCGGGGGTAAAATCAATCTTTTTTTTAACATGAAATGGGTTGGGGTATTTCCCCACATTGACGTGTGGGGTTTTTGTTTTTAGTTCTGTATCCGCCTCCCGCCGCCGCACTCCTCCCGTCCCCTCCCTCACGCTCACTCACTCTCACTCACTCACACTCACTCACTCACACTCACTCACTCACACACACTCACTCACTCACTCACACTCACTCACTCACACACACTCACTCACTCACTCTCACTCACTCACACACACACACTCACTCACCTCACAACCAGCGAAGAATGCAACTGGTTGCAATCCACTTTGGGATTCCATGATTTTGAACCAAAATATCTGAGCCAAACGGCTCCAATGTGACTTCATACTCTGCCCGGAATTCTTCAACCTGCTACAGTAACCTCAGTCAATGCCCTTGGGGATGGCTAGAATCACCGAAAATCTCGACACTGACTGGTTCATTGATATCCAGTGTCAAAAAGATTGCTCTGATCCAATAAGGGCGCAGAATATTTAACATGCTATTGCTTCACAGTTCCCCTGACCGCGCATTTTCGACTCAACTTTCTACAGATTGAACGAACGAAGGTTTTCACCTCAGATGGTTGCACTCCAAAAGCCCCTCGAAAGGCAATGGAGCCTGGCCACATGAACCGCAGTAATCTATGGGTCGAAGATTCTCAAATGTCCAAGTCAATTTGTATGAGATCCTCAGTTCCTGCTCCTATTCAGGTGTGATTCATTCTGTCAACCCAACTATTCGGGATATCATCATAGAATTCCACCCCATTCGATGTTGAAGACATTTTAAGACCCATTAAAACAGGACATGTACCGAGAAGTGCGAACATTTGCCAAGATAAAACAGAACATTCACCAATTTACCAACCCCAACAATCCAAGTTAACCTAAGTCAATCCAAGTCGATCGAAGTCACGTCCTATTCCGAACGCCTTTGCAGCGCGGCCGCGGCAGAACACATCGGCCAAAGGTCACATGCCGCGCTGCCTGGGAGACATCTTGAGATGTGGTGCAAAATTACACCGGCATAACCCCAGATGAAAAAGTCTTCACACCAAGGATGCTGTCCTACAGAAGTTCCTTGTCATCCCGGCCCAGCAAAACATGTTTTTCAACGCAAGATATCTTTTAAGTCGATCCGTGAAAAAGCGTGAGAAAGTTGCAGTGCTCAACCACATGTATGCCGGCACAGTAATCAAAACTAAACGAAACCTTTTATACAACATTTCTTCATGTCGATCCAACAGCAATTTCTTTGCGCGCACATTTCCATTCCAGCCCATTAAGCAAAAGCAAAACAACGGCTTCTCTTTCCAAGCAAAATCTTTTCCGTTTCCATTCGTTAAACAGAAAAGGTCACACAAGGACATTTTGTTCCCGGCCCAATAAGCAATACAAACCGAAGCTAGTACACCAGTACACCACTCAATTTTCAACCGGACGCAAAAGTTCCAACCTTTCCAAATCCACAACTCTTGGAAATGGGAACCCGTGGTTCCAAGGGGGAACCCGCAGGTCTTGGAGACACAAACACAATCTCTCTCCGGCCAATGCAAAACAAAGCGGTTCCTATTCCCGAACCTTTTCGCATGTCGGTACAGTGAGCAGTGGTGTTGCGCAAACATCTTTTGATCACAAAAACACTCTTGCCGGCCCATTGAGCAAAACAAAGCGAACCCTTTTGTACAACTTTTTCATATCAGTCTCGGTAAGCAATTGTTTTACAGAGCACCTGCACAGCACCTGCACGCCTGGACAGTACCCAGCCCAGCACCCTGCAGAGCACCCTGTAGAGCACGAGGCGGAAAAGTTCGCCACCAACAACCCACCAACAAGAGAAGCAAGAACCCACCTATGGGGAACAGGGGAACAAAGTATTTTTCAAAGTATACATTATAGATTTAAGAGGATACCCTTCAATCATCTAGAAAGCATTCCAAGAACAAGATGAGGACCCAATGCTGAAGATCAGCCAGCGGGCTTTTCAGCTCAAGGGGAGAGATGTTTTTTCAGTTCCAGCTGCCTTTAACACAGCAACATACTAACATTTTAACAAACCTGCAGGCTTGATAAAGCCATAGAGCGTTCATAGAAATTCGCGGGCATTGTCCGGTGAAGACTTACATGGAGCCAGAAAAAGGGAGCCTGGTAAACAATTTTCTTTTGCAATGTTCATTCCTTTCCGTGTCAGGTTTCAAGGTTAAGGAATCTATAGGTATGTGTAGTGTCCTGTGTCTTTGGCGCAGCTGTGCCTGGTGTAGTTGGCGGTTGAAAAAGTCACACAAGTCTTTCAGCTCAGCTTCAGCAGACCTAAGCTTCAGCTCACATCAGCTAACTTCAACGTCAAGCTCTTAGTGAAGTGCCAACTCACGCCACATGTCACGCCACTTGTCACGCCATGGTCCTAAGATCCCTGACGTTTTTAGCATAGGAAAGGCCAAGAGAAGGAGTCCACTCCAACAAGGCGGCAGCACTTCCAAGCCGTTCCCTGCGCCGTGCCGCAGCAAAGGAGTTTTGCCAGAACCCACCTACGATCCCACGAAAAGATCCCATGAAAAAATGCCCATTGGGATTGAAGCACTTTCAAAGCCCAAAAGCACCTTGCACTGCGTCAAGAAATCATTTGCCCTCATCCAAAGATGTGAACAACACCCTACCCTCAACGCATGCTGCGCCTGTCTGCCAAGAGAAGCCCCGCGAAACCGGCCATAAATGATCCTTGCAGCATCAGCACCAATAAAATCTGGAAGCCTTTTGACCTGTTTGTATGTGTGCTTGTGTGTGTGTTGCTTGATTGTCTTTGACGTCATTTCAAACTTTGTTTACATGGTATTCTCCTATCGAGACAATTTATTTCTTTGGGGACTTGATTTTGGATGTTTTTGGATATTATATCTTGGCGTCTTCTTGCACCTGCTGATCGGGTTTGACTTTATCGGAATTCCTTCATACTCGTATACCGCTTCGAGGAGATCTACCCTAGGTCCTTGGTTTAATCATGTTTAATCTGATTGGACGTGATGGGATTCAGTTCCCAACGGATCACTACAATGATCCAGTTCTTGTCTAGTGTGTGTGTGTGGACCATCTAAAAAGATGTAAAACTTCTAAACATCCTTTTTTAAAGCAGGGGGTAGCGGCAGATCATTTGGGACCGCTACCAACGAAGACACCCATTTGATCTGGTGATACAGATTGGGACGCCAATCTGCGTACCTGCACCAATTTTCATTTTCATCAATGGCGACCGGCTAAGCCAAGTACCGGCATGTCGTTTGGTTTTTTCCAATTTCCACTATGGATGATGCTGCATCTGAACCTTCTTCAGAACTTCGGTGTCAACAGGTTTCAATCCACTGTACGGTTTTCGCAATCTGATTTAATGCTGACGTCGTTAGATGGAACAGTTGCTTTTTGCAAGGACAAAGAAAGAATTCTTCTACAATGGTTTTCTCGCCAAGTCATTCAATTTTCGCCTGTCAGACTTTAGGGGATTGTTTGTGCACGTACGATGCATTCCACAACAGAAATTCGCAATGATGTTTCTGAGCAAGTGTGTCATTCCTGCTGTATACGTCAAGTTGGCAGGAACCCTTCGGGGAAAGCCTTTCCAGGCTAACAATTGACAGTAAATCGATGTCTGAATTTACACTTTTGAATTAGTAATTCGTTTAAGTAATGTGAACCGCTGGCCTTTTTTCAGGGTCTCACACGTCGGTCGAGTGCGTGTTGAACAACTGGCCGCTGCAAGTGGCTTCACCATTTTCCTGAGATGCAAGGGTTTGTAGCCTGACGCCACGTCAACAACCTTTCTGTTGCTTCAAGAGACTGCCCGCAGCCATTTTCACATGAACAGGTAACAGGACATGCTTTACAGGTGTGGTCTCTTTCTTTTGGTTACTTTGGTGAGGTTCAATTGTGCACCTAATTCAGGGGTTGAACACGTTAGCCGTCCAGAGGGTTGTGACTTGAATGCCGAGGGCCTTTGAGCCTTATCACGAACTTTGCATGCGTTGTGGATGCATCATGTCATTAACTAGTTCCCCATGGGTCCCTATTTCATGTGTTCTTGCGTTCTCCTCTCTACAGGTAGGTTTGGCCCGTTGCGTGCTGAGGTTGTTGTGGGTTTTTCGCCGTGTCAGGTTGGTTCAGGCGCTTCTGTCCTCCCCCTCCTCCGCTGGTCTTGTTCCGTTTTCCATCGGCCTCCGCTTTTCTTTTCCCTTGCCTTTCCAGGGTTGCCCGTTCTGGGCTAGGTTTCATGTGTTGGTGGTTGCTCTTTCCCTCTTCTTTTGCGTTCCCCTCTTTGCGTCCTGGTTAAGTAACACTTTCATCTCATTGTCATCTTCACCTCATTTTCATTTCCCTTTTTCTTCATTTTCATCTCATTGTCGGGACCTCAGTTGCCGAAACAGCCTCGCGGCAGCGAGGCGTGTGTGTGGACCATCTAAAAAGATGTAAAACTTCTAAACATCCTTTTTTAAAGCAGGGGGTAGCGGCAGATCATTTGGGACCGCTACCAACGAAGACACCCATTTGATCTGGTGATACAGATTGGGACGCCAATCTGCGTACCTGCACCAATTTTCATTTTCATCAATGGCGACCGGCTAAGCCAAGTACCGGCATGTCGTTTGGTTTTTCCAATTTCCACTATGGATGATGCTGCATCTGAACCTTCTTCAGAACTTCGGTGTCAACAGGTTTCAATCCACTGTACGGTTTTCGCAATCTGATTTAATGCTGACGTCGTTAGATGGAACAGTTGCTTTTTGCAAGGACAAAGAAAGAATTCTTCTACAATGATTTTCTCGCCAAGTCATTCAATTTTCGCCTGTCAGACTTTAGGGGATTGTTTGTGCACGTACGATGCATTCCACAACAGAAATTCGCAATGATGTTTCTGAGCAAGTGTGTGTGTCTCAGTTTATGTCCACTTCGTCAGATGTCTTGCTGACCCAGGGAGACGGAGTTTTGAGAGCTGACATGACCCACAAGGTGCCAACAAAACAGTCAGATGTCAAGATAGTTGTCAAGAGTTGTCAACCGACCATAGCCATAAACCATCAGGCTTGCCAACCACTGTGATTATGTGGCCCCTTGTCTTTGCTGACCAAGAGACCCAAAGTTCGTCTCGCACATTTCGATCCACATCATCACAGGCCGGGCAGTCTAAGCGTTTTCTCCAAAGCTGAAAAAAGCGATTCCAACCAGGATCGGCGTAGCCTCGTTGGATCCAAACCGTGGTACACCAGTTACCCAACAAGCTCTTTTAACATTGTTGGCAGGAATCAAAAGATTGGTACTCCAAGCCAGAAGATGCCAGAAGATGGCGGAAGATGGCAGAAATATGAACTACTTTAGCCAAAAACAGCATGGTCATGTGTGCCAAGTTTAAACATGCTGGAGCAAGTTGAAACAAGTAGCAGGCTCTTGGAAAGACTTGAGCTGAGATCCAGTGAAAGTCTTCAGGCGGTGCAATCATCTCGCGAAAGAAGATGATGCCATAGCCGGAGTAGTACCGAGCATGCTCTGCTACCCTGTGCAGTGAGGGGAACAGTTCGCGAGATTGAGATGGCAGCCCTCCGATTTTTGAACACTCAACTTCTGTATGTCTACCGAGCTTGGAAAATCAGCACTCTGAACAAAACCTACACAGGAAATTCCAGGACACAATCCTCGCATGTCACAACTCGGGGGTCCCAGCCCACATGTCAGACAATATCACTCATCACATCTCATCACCCGAGCACATCGTGATCGTCATGAGCAGAAATCATGTCACCATGGGCCCACCAGGCCGCGCCCACCTCTTTGTCTCCAGTCCGAAATCGCCACCGTAGATCAACGCCACGCGCTGCACAGCGCTGCGATGTATATCTTTGGTGAGGTGTAAACAACAGAACAGAACAAAACAGCATAGAACAACATTTGAACGTGGATGACCCACTAAACGATCCAAAGAACATCTTAGGTGTCAAGAATGTCAAGATTGGAAGTCAATTGTAAGTTGGTCCAGAGTCCAAACCAGCTGGCGAGACAAAGACGACGAGTCCCAACGAGTCACAACGAGTCAGCTCGAAAGAGAAACGAACCTTCTTGGGCACCCGCTTCTCAAACACTTTGGATAATCCACAACGCCAAATGTTTCAAGATCTTGGAAGTGATGAATTAGCCGCTCCGAAATCTTTATCAGTCAACAACTGAGCTTTGATCTTGGACACATATGCTGTGTTGTTCCTTTGAGATTGAAGCTAAAACCAACTCTCGAGGGGCCATGTCTTGCTCGTTTAGTTAGTTTAGTTTAGATTATAGAATCTGCAGAATGTACTCCAGCAATGTCCAGAAATCTCCAGCATCCACTGTAGATATTCCCACCTCTGCAGGGTATCCTGCATTTCGTACCACATCAAAGAAGGGCAATGGATCACAGCCCTGCGCAGGGCCCACCTGCCAAGGACCAAGGACTTGAAGCCTTTTGGTGGAAGTTTCTCTTCATCTGGTGCAGGAACTTGCTGGGTTCCAACTCGAGACATTTCCGTCGCAACTGTTGCAACAACTGAAGCTACCTGACCTTGCCGTAGATGACTCCATCGAACTCATGACCTCAGCCATGGCGTCACTGCAAGCACTCAGCGACCATCAAGCTTCATTCTGAGACATCCAAGAAATTTACACGATGGACCTGGCTCAAAACCGCAAATGATAAACCATCCTAAGCCATCCCATGGTTCCTCGGGGCCCTGCGGAACAGACTGTCAGGCACTGCATCACGTTCAGCTTGCGTCGCTAGGTCCTGGTCAACTGGCGCACATCACATCGCATCGCATCACACACGGGCAACGTTTACAATCCAATCGTGTCGCATCGCATTGCATCGCATCGCATCGCTGCAATGTGCTGCACCTTCAGGCTCAATCGTCTGGCATAGGAAAAACCATAGCCGTACATCCTGTGGCACCGCTGGAAGCATGTGGCAGCATGTAACAGTCATGTAACAGTCATGTAACATGGTGTGACAGCACCGGGACCTTTGCCGTAGATCTTCTTCGTGAATCCTGCGCAGGGCAGTTCGGATGTGAGCTGAAGACTCCAGAAGTAGACAAGAATCGCAGTAGAGAATGGTCACGCTCACCACAAGTTGGAGCCATTGAAAGCATGTTCGCAGAAGAGAGGACCCCCAAGGTTCCTGCTCCACACTCTTGTGTCAAACAGTGTAAACTGTTAGCAAGTACGTATAGGTGTGTATTGTATGTATGTACATTATATTATGTACCGTAGTCGTTGCTTCTCTTTCTCTCTGCTCTCTCTCTCTCTCTCGCCACGGTCTCCCAGCTGTCCAGGGATCGCTATCTTTTGCCAAATACCAGAAATTGGACCTGGCCGCCGAAATTGGCCCATGACATCCCCAGACCTTCACCAAAGTGATTGAATGGCCCATGGCACAAACCGCCTTGATGTTGATCACGGATGTTAGATGGTGCCATTCTGCATTCCGTTGATGTCTCATATCTTATCAATCTCATCCACGCCTGTGCACAGTCTCCTCAGGCCATATACTGGGATCTGGTTCCATGGCCTGGGGTTCCGCAGTGAGAGCACGGCAACAGAATTGACAGAGTGCAAATGCTACCTCTATGTCTATACCATTTCTCTATGACCCAATTGAAACTTGTTTTTAAGTCCGTTTGAAAGGACAGTGTGTGAAAATAAACACAACTTTACCCATTTATACCAATTTCATGAATTCAATGCAGATGTGGTGGGCAAAGACAGAGTCAGTCACCCGAGTCAGTCGCCCCAAACGTCCGAGTCAGTAACCCCATAGGGCAAAGTCAGTCGCGGATGAACATTGCCACAGGATGCAGGGAAACCATGAACGGGAGACAGAGAGTCAGCAACCAAGAGTCAGTCACCCCTCGAAAGCCGGGAGGAGGATGAAGGAACCCGGAGGAAAACAGAAAGTCAGCAACAAAGAATCGGTCACCCATGAAATCTATCTATCTATCTAATCTATCTAATCTATCTAATCTTATCTAATCTTATCTAATCTATCTAATCTATCTAATCTTATCTAATCTTATCTAATCTATCTAATCTATCTAATCTTATCTAATCTTATCTAATCTATCTAATCTATCTAATCTTATCTAATCTATCTAATCTATCTAATCTTATCTAATCTATCTATCTATCTATCTATCTAATCTATCTAATCTTATCTAATCTTATCTAATCTATCTAATCTATCTAATCTTATCTAATCTATCTAATCTATCTAATCTTATCTAATCTTATCTAATCTATCTAATCTATCTAATCTTATCTAATCTTATCTAATCTATCTAATCTATCTAATCTTCTAATCTTATCTAATCTATCTAATCTATCTAATCTTATCTAATCTTATCTAATCTATCTAATCTATCTAATCTTATCTAATCTTATCTAATCTATCTAATCTATCTAATCTTATCTAATCTTATCTAATCTATCTAATCTATCTAATCTTATCTAATCTATCTAATCTATCTAATCTTATCTAATCTTATCTAATCTTATCTAATCTATCTAATCTATCTAATCTTATCTAATCTTATCTAATCTATCTAATCTATCTAATCTTATCTAATCTATCTAATCTATCTAATCTATCTAATCTTATCTAATCTTATCTGTCTATCTAACTATCTACCTATCCTATTTATCTTATCTTATCTTATCTTGTCTTATCTATCTATACTAATCCAATCTAATCTATCTAATTAATCTAATCTTATCTAATCTTATCTAATCTTATCTAATCTTATCTAATCTTATCTCATCTGTCTAATCTTATCTAATCTTATCTGTCTATCTAGATATCTATCTACCTATCCTATTTATCTTATCTTATCTTATCTTGTCTTGTCTTGTCTTGTCTATCTAGACTAATCTAATCTATCTAATCTATCTAATTTATCTAATCTATCTAATCTATCTAATCTATATAATCTATCTAATCTATCTAATCTTATCTAATATTATCTAATCGTATCTAATCTTATCTAGTCTTATCTAATCTTATCTAATCTTATCTGTCTATCTAGCTATCTATCTACCTATCCTATTTATCTCATCTTATCTTATCTTGTCTTATCTATCTAAACTAATCTAATCTATCTAATCTATCTAATCTATCTAATCTATCTAATCTTACTCATATTATCTAATATTATCGAATCTTATCTAATCTTATCTAATCTTATCTAGTCTTATCTAATCTTATCTGTCTATCTAGCTAGCTATCTACCTATCCTATTTATCTTATCTTATCTTATCTTATCTTGTCTTGTCTTGTCTTATCTATCTAATCTATCTAATCTATCTAATCTATCCAATCTATCTAATTTATCTAATTTATCTAATCTATTTAATCTATCTGATCTATCTAATCTAATCTATCTAATCTATCTAATCTATCTAATCTATTTAATCTATCTAATCTATCTAATCTATCTAATCTATCTAACCTATCTAACCTATCTAACCTATCTAATCTATCTAATCTATCTAATCTATCTAATCTATCTAATCTATCTACTCTATCTACTCTATCTACTCTATCTAATCTTTCTAGTCTATCTAGTCTATCTAATCTGTCTAATCTATCTAATCTATCTAATCTATCTAATCTATCTTATTTTATCTAATCTTATCTAATCTTATCTAATCTTATCTAATCTATCTAATCTATCTAATCTATCTAACCTGTCTAACCTATCTAATCTATCTAATCTATCTAATCTATCTAATCTATCTAATCTATCTAATCTTTCTACTCTATCTACTCTATCTACTCTATCTACTTTTTCTAATCTATCTAGTCTATCTAATCTGTCTAATCTATCTAATCTATCTAATCTATCTAATCTATCTTATTTTATCTAATCTTATCTAATCTTATCTAATCTAATCTTATCTAATCTTATCTAATCTTATCTAATCTTATCTAATCTTATCTAATCTTATCTAATCTTATCTGTCTATCTATCTATCTATCTACCTGTCCTAATTATCTTATCTTATCTAATCTAATCTAATCTATCTATTCTATGGATCTATCTATCTATCTATCTATCTATCTATCTATCTATATGTCTATCTATTCTTATCTTATCTTATCTTATCTTTTCTATCTTATCTTATCTTATCTTATCTTATTTATCTTATCTATCAGGAACATCGAAAAACAGAACGTCAACAACGAAGAGTCCCTCAAGAAACCTTAACGCAACCCTAAAGAAACCCCAAAGCAACACTAAATAGAGCCTAAACCAACCCTCACGCAAACCCTGAAAAAACCCTACATAAACCCTAAACCAAATCTAAATAAACCCTACGACCCAAACCCTACAGAAACCCTAAACCAACCCTCAATCAAACCCTGACGAAACCCAAATTTCACCTGAAACCAAACCTAAATAAACCCCTAAACCAAGCCTAAATAAATCCAAAACCAACACTAAGCAAACCCTAAAGAGACCCTAAAACAAACCTTGACGAAACCCGACATTAACCATTAACCCGAAGCTAACCTCAAATAAAACCTAAACCAAGCCTGACTATACCCTACATAAAGCCGAAATAAACCCTAATCCAGCCTTCGCACAAACCCTGATGAAACCCTGATGAAACCCTAACTCAAGTTGAAACCAACCTTCTAAAGGCCTAAACCAGGCCTAAATAAACCGCAAACCAACGCTAAGTAGACTATAAATAGACCCTAAACCAAACCTTGACGAAACCCTACATTAGCCCTAAACCAACCCTAAATAAAACCTAAATCAAGCCTGAATATACCCTAAACCGTATGTTGAGTTGTAAGCTAGAAAGGTCAATGAGTAATCATCTGAAGAGCCAGTGCCTGAAAGAGACATGCATGTTGCATGTTTCAAAAAAACATGCATGTATTATATTATATAATATAATATAATACAATAAAATATTATATTATATTATATTATGTTATGTTATGTTATGTTATATATACAATATGGACATGGAAGCACGTCGCAGTGCAGTCACTCCTCACCCCCAGTGGGGGGGTGGGCGGCGGAGGGTGACTGACTCTGACGTGGGGGGTGATTGACTCACTGCGCTCTGACTCTGTCAGTGGGTGACTGATTCCGTCTGCTCTCCCTCTCATTTTGAAAATGTTCCATGTGTTTCCTTTCAGCTTGTGTCTCGCTGTTCCATACTCTCGTTGGACCCAAGACCTACGTAGATCACAGCAGCTAACTTCAATGATTGTCAGTCCAGTCCAGCCACTTGAAAGTTTCTCTCAGCGTCAAATTCTTGATCACTTCACAGCCAAATGACAGGAGCGTCCACGATCCGTGAACCTGCCACTTGCTCGACACAGCAATTTGATTCTCAGAAGTTGAGACTCAGGGACCTACAACTGATCAGCTGATTGGCCGAAATATTAAATCTTTCCCACATGTCTTAAGGTCTCAAGTCAATGGCACAAACCACACCAGATCCTGGGCTTCATGCTTCAACTTTCCAACAGTCACAACTACTGGAGCCACGCTGATTGCAAAGACATGACCATGAGGAAAACTTTGATACCTTAATACTGCAAAAATCAAACACTCCATACATACATTACATTACATTACATTGCATTACATTGCATTGAATTACATTACCTTGCATGACATTCCACTACATTACATTACATTGCATTACATTACATTAACATTACATTACATTGCATTGCATTACATTACATTACATTGCATTGCAGTACATTACATTACATTGCATTGCATTGCATTACATTGCATTGCATTACATTGCATTGAATTACATTACCTTGCATGACATTCCACTACATTACATTACATTGCATTACATTACATTACATTCCATTGCATTACATTACATTACATTACATTGCATTGCATTGCATCACATTACATCCATACCTATATATATATACATATACTGTCAATAATGAAAAAGAAGAAAACACATTTATTCATGAACGTGATTGAAGATGTACACACTCCTGGTGACTTCAAGGCTGAAGGCGAAGGTGACGCTCCCGTTTCTCACGTTTCTCAGCCTCCCAGCCTGGCCACTGTCGGAGCAAGGCATGGAGCCCCAGAAAGATGCCAATGCTCACGGGACCCTGCCAGCCATCGCCTGCCAGGAGCACACGATTCAAATGAAGAGCATTGAAGAGCACATGATTCAAATTTCAGAATATTTCAGACAGGATACCCAAACTGAAGGTATCCAATTTGTTGCACTCATTTAGGGACTCCAGCTCATGCCCATCAAACGCAGTCGAGCCTGCACCACTAAACCCAAAGCCACAGGTGATGTACCTGCAGTTTCAAGAGGAATCCTCAAACAACCAAAGATCCATCCATGTCCCAGCCCCATAATCTCACTATGTGAAAGAATGAAGATAGATGATGCGATATGTTCCAACCAAAACAAACTGGGCACCAGTTTGTTGGTCATGATAATCCTGGGTTTCTTGGACATCAACCCAGTCATCATTTTGAAGGCCACCATCCCCGCCAGCAGCTGTGGCATCGCACAGGAGCCGCAAGGGTCGTTGCGTAGGCCACAGGCCCATCTCCCTCAGAACCTCAGCTGCTGCGGGGTTCACTGTGATGGGGATTGGGCCAAGGGCTGTGGAAAAACAGGGAGAAAAGGATTCAGAACCGTTGGGTATGTGCGTGTGTGTGTGTGTGATTGTGTGATTGTGTGATTGTGTGATTGTGTGTGTGTGTGATTGTGTGTGTGTGATTGTGTGTGTGTGATTGTGTGTGTGTGTGATTGTGTGTGTGTGATTGTGTGTGATTGTGTGTGATTGTGATTGTGTGTGTGTGTGATTGTGTGTGTGTGATTGTGTGTGTGTGTACTATAAAGGTGTATATATATATATATATATATACATGTCTATAAATATATATATATATGTATATATATATGTATGTATGTATGTAAATATATATATATACACATTTATATATATATATATACACTTTTATATATATATACATATATATATATATGCACTTATGTATACACTTGTCTATACTATTATACATCTACCTATATATAGATAAACACAATTGCATTGTATATGTATGTACATATACATATCTATATATCAAAAATATTCTCGATATGTCAACATCTTCAAATCGTTGCTTGATAAGACCCCCGCTCGCGCTGCCATGGACTCTGCCGTCAGACACCTGAAGAAAATTGACGAGGTGCCACCCGTTCTGCCCGAACATCAAAGCTGTTATGATGCATAGTCGTTAGTTGCAGCACCAAAATGCTAGCAAAACGGAGGCTGAGTTTCCTAAAAAGTTTCGCCTTTGGCCACTACATCAAGCTACTAATGTTTGGCCGAAGGGATCCGAAGGGATCCGAAGGGCTTGGAAATCATGGCGAATCAGCTGCCTCCTGGTATGGTCAAGCAGTTGTTCCACCGTGGCCTCAGTCCAAAGCAGTCGCAGACATATTTCGGCCTTAAAGAAAGCACCTGCTTCAGTGGTCATTTCGACTGGGACCCACCCACGTTGTAAGCAGCTTCCAAACGCTTGGAGTATGGCAGCAACCTCGAACCATGAGGCAGCAAAATTCAGTCAGAACATGTCAGAACAAACAAAAAATACTTGAATCATCTTGAATCCCCCTGCCACAATGATGATGCCATGATACCATCAGATCAGGGTCCTTCAATCATCACGTGCCAAAGCTGAACCCCTGCAGCTGAGCATCATCGGAATCCCATTTCTCCACGTTTCTCCAAGGTCCCGTCTCTTCGGTTTTCAGCAACAAGGCTTTCGGCACGAAGGGCACTGCCAGGTGTGGCGCCTGTGTGGAATCGTCAAGTCTATGGGCTGACCTCACCAAAACCGGCGGACTTTGAAGGTAAAGCGGGAACTCAACGCAAGAAAATGCAAGAAACCCACTAAGTATGAGGATACATCATCCAAAAGGTTTGGCATGAAGATCTGCAGATCCAGACTTGCAGTTGTCTCCAAATTTTGGGGTCTCAAGTTACTTATTAGTGAGATTCCGTACGTCATCCGGTGCCCTCTTTTCAGCCAAAGGTAGCTTTCCTACCAAAGCCATAAATTGCATTGAATACCCATACAATGCCCATAAGCTGGAATGACTGGAATGTTCCCACTAAACTTATTAACCCCAGCATCTTTGATTTTGAAGAATCTGATTTGTTTTGCACCCCTGTACCTTGTCCAAACCAGCAAAGTTTGGCACCTCAGGGGTCGAATCAATTTGGATTCCTAGGTGGCAAAAAGCCCTTCTTGAAACCAATGAGTGAAAGTTTTGAAGACTTACTCTTGGAGTTCATGTTCTGCTTCGGGAAAGGTCAGGAGCTCATCTGCTCACACCTTCGGGAAAACAGTCATCTCACTCTAACAGATCTTTCACTGGGTGAGTCTCGGACGGTTCCCATCGCCAGGATTTCAGCGTGCCTCACAGCCTTAGCGACCAGAGGCATCCGCAGCTTTCAAGGGTTGGCTGTTGGCTGGTAGGGCTGTCTACAAGGAATGGCGAGAGAAAGCAGCTTCTCCAAAATCCATGGCCACTGGAGTGATGTTTTTTTAATGGAGATCAGCAATTGAAACCAACTTGGGCTGCCAACATCCCATCCGCCCTTTCTTTTGGTGTGTGCAAAGCGGTGTCGCCGGTAGAAGTCCTGATACCTCCACATGTATCTTTGGATTTCACTGCACCTTGCAACATTTGTTTGGATTGAAAGTACGGAAATATCAAACTGTATTCAACTGATTTCAAATAAAATATGTTCTGGGCAACTCATGGTCTTTGGTTGTTCGTCGTTGTTCGTACTTGATCGATTACGCTTTGTGATGATGATGATGATGATGATGACGACGACGACGACAAGAAGAATGATCCAGGGCTCCAACCAAATGCCAAATGCGGTCAGAAAGGGTGTTCACACGCAATCCACATCATTGCTTCAAGATAGCATCTCAACCAACCCAAAGTTGCAGAGAACTCATTCTAGTGATTCTAGTGTCTCAAAGCTTGAAATGCATGCGCAAAGCGGTGGGTTTCTTTCTAGAATGGACCGCGCAGCTGTCGGGTCGTCCTGGCCTGTCTTCTTCCATTGGTCCAAACTTGTATTCAGAAACCTGGTGCAACATTTTTTGCAACGCAAGACTACCTGGCTACCTCCATGAGAGCTCTGATCAAAGGCACAGCTGCAATGCAAACTGTCGGGGCATCTATCGCACTCTTTTGACATTCAAATGATTCAAATGCCAGCACTTACATGTAACACATATATATATATATATGTAAACACAGCATTATAATATGCATATGTATAATATTGTATAATAATTGCATAATTATCATTAATTATCACTATATATTGTGGACTACGTATGTATGACTGTGTATAGTTCAGACAACACAGATCCGCTGCCCACGGCCCCATCCTCTCCCCCACACGAACTTCCGACAAAGGCAGCATGCACTCTCACCTGCCAAAATTCAAACCTGACATGACCGTGGTAACCGAAACATGTAGAAAATTCGCGTTTGAGATCGACTTCGTAGAGATGTCGAGGTTGAAACATGTTGAAACTCCGAAAATTCGCTGCTACATCTGCTACATCCACCCAGTCCACTACGCTCTCAGCAACTTGTTGGGAATCTGACACACAATGACCAAAGAAAGCAAGACTAAATTTGACTCAGATGCTTATAGCTCCACATTATGTATATAAATGTATATAACACATTATAACACTACTATACACAGCTGAAAAATACAAATCTTGGTCAGTGCTGTTTCAGGGAATCAGTGCTGATCACTTTCGAAGGACATCTCGAAAAGCCAAATGTGCCTTTCGCGGAATGGACTCGGCAACCAGATCTGAAGGCACCTGAGATGAAGCACGTGATGAAATGCGAAGTTCAGCGAACCACGCATAAAAGCATTTGATACGTAAAGTATTTTGCAGCATCCTGATGTCAAGCAAACTACGCATTTCAATCAAATTTGATGCCACAGAACACGCAGGTTGGAGATTATCGTCTTACGGTTACTTAAGCATCACTTGAGAGACTACAAACAAGTCTAGCTCCAAATCCTTTTTGTGGGACTCTGTGACAAAGACTCACTGGACACTTATCTAGATTTCTGGCAGGTCCCGCTCACGCTTATGTATACACATTATGTATATATAATTATGAATTATACATTAGTACATACATGATTATATACATCATTATACATATATATATATATTGATCTGTTGGTGTTCGCGTTTTGGCCACTTTGGTGTTGTTGTTGCCGGTGGCTGGGATCCGGGGTCCTCACCGAGATGCCGATGGGAAAGACTGCTGTGTCCTGATCCGGACATGGGCATTGATTTACCGTGGAGTTTCCGGCCCAACTTCATGCTGCATCATCTGCAAAGTGCAGAGCTAAGTGTCCCAGGAGGACTCTTGCATGGACAGGTGCAGGGGACCCCCTGATTTCAAGTCTCTGAGTTCTAGGAAAAAGTATTGTAGATGAGATTTGGAGGTCCTCAATTTCAGTACAAATGGAACTGAAGGCCACGTGGCCAAGCCAAAGACTTCCCTGTGGGCTCCTTCTTGTAGATGAGAACCTTCCCAGGCCTCGAACCAAAGCCACAAAGTCCAATTTGGTTCGCTCGCCGCTCGCCAACAGCAATGCCAACAGAAATGCCAAGCGCAAAGCTCACCCCTAACCCCAGACCTGTGGAAGTGGACGCATTGGGAGCTATCATCGCTGCTGAACCTCAGTGGCACTACAGCGCTGACTCGCAGCAAAAAAATGCAAAAAAGACATCAGCAACTGGTTGTTTCTGGCATCAATTCCAAATCGTTGTCGCGCCGACTGCCCAACTCTCAATAGTACCACACAATGAACGCAGTTGCATTTTGCGTAGCAGTCCAAATTTCAGACCCAAGCATATTTCCAGAGAATTGGGAAAATGGTCAGCATAGAACCAGGTTCTTTGGCACCTACTCATGCCCAAAACATGATTATAGAACTTTATAGATTCCCCCATCCGTCCAATCCCTCGTCATGGTGCTCTTGTACTGCACCGACCACAGCCTCACAGGTTCAACAAGAACCGGTGAACGAATCCACTAATCAAACCGCCACAGGAATGGTTGGATCACTTGGATGTGTTGCCCCTTTCACAAGGTGGGAAACCATGGGAAACCAGGCCTGGCAGCAAGCCAACAAGACTGCAAAGCCCATGACATCATTACATGTGTTCCCAGCACTGCACTTTGCAGTGACATCCAATGACCTGTTTTCTGCGGTTGGTCGTTGTGGTCGTTGGTTCATCCACATGCTACTCCTGCTACTCATTCACCCTCTCCAAGCTGACAAAAAAAGGATTACAACTGTTTGTTTGGGCGGCTATACGTGGCGGAGCTGTGCGGGAATTACCCAATCACCCAATCATCCAATTCAACTACTCTTTTTTCCATGGTGCTGTGCGGATGGTACTAAGATGTCCTTGTTCCTGAGATCTGTGCAGATGGTACATCTTGACTGGTGAACCAAACTTTCAGAAGTTCATTCACCGGTGAATATCTCTCCCTCGTTGAGAGCTTTGGATTCCCATGGTCCATTCTGCAATCCAACAGTGGGCTGCATCTGCAATGGGGGCCAAGAAGAAGATTCAACAATTTGATATGTAAAATGTCCTACACTGCACATTGCTGTATCCACAAAATGATTGATTCTGGAACTTCAAGTTCCCTTCCAAGTCTGCCTTTCATTTCATATCGACCAAGAATATAGACTATATACTTCGAAGTTCATCCAGCAGTCCGATTACAACAGCAGGGTGTTTGGAGCCAATCGCTAGGACAATCCCAAACTACAAGCCAAACCTACATGGCTACCAAGTTTGCTCTGCTATGAAACCGCCCCCAAAAGAAGCAGAAACATCTGCAGAAAACTGGACGCAACTGCTATTTTGTATCTGCCAAAATCCGCAGCAGTACAATGTCGTCCGAACCTGACAAGAAACTCCATGCATCTCTTCCTTATGAAGTAGCTGCGCGAAGCCGCGAAGCCGAGCGCCAGCGGCATGACACCGTCGCAATTAGCGCGTCGCTCTGTTCAACAGCTGGACAATGGGGAACAGTCTCATGGGTTTGGACGATCACCGCAGTCCCGCTTTGGAGAGGTCTAAAGAATGCTGTGGCATGTTGAAGCATGCTGAAGCATATTACCGCATTGCAAGTACAACAGAAAACTCCGGCAGGACACGGTTCTCCAAAAATGCAAACGTCATGTGAGTTCCTACTGGCACCTTGGACGCAGCCAACTTAACCATCCCCCAAAGGAAAGCAAACACTTTTAGGATCAGATTTAGGATCAGATTGATATATTAGATGCACGTTCAGAAATATGGATGCATCATCAATCCAGCAAAAGATATGCAAAAAATATGCAAAATATCCATCGCTATCCGCTATACATCGCTATACCACCCTCTATCACCCCAAGTTCACGGACCTCCAAGGTGCATGCAGTTGTGATCCGTCCTGTCTACTGCAGGAACACCGGTCAGTGCCGGTTGACACAACCACCGCCTAATAGCAGCAATGCGCCTTTGCGCTTGCGCTGCACAGAGTGACAGAGTGACTCTGTGTGGATCAGCACGTGAAGCATTTCGGAGACGAAAGATATCGCCTCCCAATCCAGTTGTACTTCTAAAATATGTGAATATCTTGTAATCATGTATGGTTCTGTATGATCCGTTAATATTTTCGGATATCATATATATATATATATATATATCATGTATGTATATATATATATATACGGATCCCAAATGAGATCAGCTTGCACCGGCTGCTGTGCACCCCAGTGAAACACCTGGCGACCTGGCAAATCCGGACATGATGAAATCCCAACAGTTTCTGAAATCCTTCACCGATACACCCGTGATCCTGGTATATCATAGGTATATTCAATATACCATCTGGTTATTTGTTACATAGCTATGGAAAATCACCATTTTTAATAGGTAAACCATCTATAGATGGGCCATCTATACCATGGCGAACTGTTAAATAACCAGATGGTATTTCAACATATTCTGGTGGTGGAATCCAGCCTGCTGCGTGATTCTTGGTGAGCACGCAGCAAGCCTGGCGATTTCTCCATTTCCGGTTTCGATGGATCCTTGAAGCATGGGAACAGCGGTAGCTCCTTATATCTTAGAATGGGAGCAAAGCTGTTTCTATACAACTTTCACCCAACTTTTACCCAAACTTCATCCAACTTCATCCAACTTCATTCACTTTCACCGTGATTCACCGTGTTTCCGGTTTCGGATTCACCGTGTTTCACCCCCGGCCTTGGTCAGAAAGACGCACGCGTCTCAGCCTCCGAAAGATTTCTGTTTTCCAACGACCGCTAAGGACCTCTTATAGGTTGTATCAATGCAAGATGTCATATCATACATATACCACACATATACTACCATAATGACCCATATGTGTAGTAAGTATAGTAAGAGTATAGAGCATCAGAGTACAATATTACGTTTATCATTTTAAATTATATTGTAATGTATTATATGATATTATATCATATGATATTATATTATATAGCAGTATATGCCAGTATCATCTAGTATCGCCTTGTAAATTCAAAAAACACACAAAAAAAAAAAAACACGGGCTAAAACTTTCGAGAATTCGAAGTGCCACTCTGAAAGGGCACTGAAGGGTTGCAAAAATGTGGATCTTTTGGCACCTGGGTGTTTTGGATAGCAACACATCGTACGTCACAAGAATGCGGACACCACATTCTTGGCCTCGGCATTGTCGCCCCGCATCATGGCCATGAACTCCTGCCGTGGCCGGGTGAACATCCTGAGTCCTCTCCAGCGTTGAGCGTTAGGTTGCAGCGTGTAGATATCGGTATAAAATGATATAAAATGATATAAATCCAAAAAAAGGAACTGGAATTTTTCTGGAACTTCAATAAAGAAATACCTCGAAGCTCCCAGAGGATCCCAAAGGATCCCAGAGGATCCCAGGGCGAGGACGAGGCTTTGCCTCAAAATCGATCGAGCCATCGCCATTGGTGTCCACTGCCTTGGATCAACCGGGACCGGGACCTGTCGGACCTTCTGATTCCACAGGATTCCACAGCGGGTTGAAGGGTTGAAGGGTTGAACAAAACATCCTGTACCATCTGTACCTGAAACTAAAAGTGCCTCAAAAAATCTCAAAAATAAGCGACCCAAGTTATCTGCAAGTTCAAGATCTGTGTTCTGTTTGAGGAGCAGGGAAAACATACTGGATGTGACCCTTCTCCAATCTCTGGATGTAAGCACTGCAGGTTTTTTTGGTGGTACACGCGTTAGTACAAACGACACCCGCATTACTTCCCAAAACTTCAGTAGGGATACTACCTACCAGTTGTACTCCACTCTAATGCTAGGCAAGAAAAATGCGTGTTTCTTTGCCTATACCTCCAGCTTTGTTGAGTTGTATATCTGCAATTTTCATTGGTGACCAACTGAATGCCTCCCCGAGCCTTGAGGATTTCCTCGGAGCTCCTCCCATGTAAGGCCTCGCCAAGGGGACGGCTTCTGCTGAGTTGAAATATGTAAAATGTGAAACCGTAAAGTTATCGATGTTTCTTCAACATGGCTTGAACATGATTGAATCATATTGAATCTATAGGAGTTAAACAGTTAAGGTGGAGGCTACGGTTGAGGCTACGGCTTCGAAAAAAATGCCAGGATTTTACACAGAATGGTGGCTGCGTTCTTCGATGTTTTTATCGTTGCAACGCCTTGACGGAGCCCACTCCCGCTCCCACCGCTCCTGGTCGACACTGCCATTTTCCAGGATCTTCTTCAGCTCCTGAAGCGACTGACATGGCTACCCGGCTACCCGTTACCATCCTTTATCATCTGTTACCCTGACGTGACAAGAAAGACAACATGTACAATACATCAGCTGCAATGCAAGAGAATCCTAAACTTTGTAGTTTGATATAAATCACGTCTACAAGAGTTACTTCACATAAAACCATCTACAACTGGCAGACTTTCAGCCTGTGAGATTGCCAGAGACTAAGTTCAATGACCCAATGACCCCTTGCCCAAAATGTGTCGTCATGACTCTTGGAATAGGACTGAGTCATCTGGTCGGGGGCCACGGCCCGTACTAGTGCAGAGACAACTGGCCACAAGTCCTGTGTGACTATTTGAACCATAGACATGCAGGGAACGAGAACTGCTTTGAAAGCCTTAATACATTTTAATGTTTTCTAAGCTTGAATAGTTTTGACTACTTGTCGTCTCAGAAAAATTATCCTGGGACAAAGTGCATGCGAAACCATCAGCTCAGGAGAATCGCCAAAGGTTCCGCCTCCAAAGTGATGTGTCCATCACCATCCTGGTCAAAAACACCTCAAGTCGGAGCAAATCGAAGATGTTGTTTGTCTTGTTCATTTGCGTCATTGTCATCCAAATCAGACACATCTTCGAAAACCACCATTGTGTCACACATTGACCCTCCATGGGGATCTTGGAAAGCTGTCTTCACAGCAGTGCAGCTGCTGCAGCTTCGGATTCTGAGGCAAGCCACTAAAAGCTGTATAGCAAACATCCTCTTGCAAGTAACATTTCCTGAGGCACGGCCATCGCCATCATGGCACTTGCCAAGCACTTGCCAAGCTCTTGCCAAGCTCTTGCCAATTCTGCAACGAATCTTCCAAGAAAGCCCTATCTGAACCCACATGAACCCGCAGTTGGCTGAGGCAAGCGCTTGTCAAGAGTTGCTGCAAGAAATTCTGTGTAGTCGATCAAACCGCTGCCGTCGGCATCAATGCCTGTGCTGTGCAGGCGCATAGAGCAAAAGGCAAGGGGGGACTAGGTAGAGCACAACAGCAGCAATGTCAATGTTCACTCAATGTTCACTTCAGTATCTTCACTCCTACTCCTGTCAGCACTTCAGATCTTCAGCTCCTAATCCTAATATTCTTCAGAGCGTTGAGTCTCTGCCTTCCATCAAGGCATCCAGGTCCAATCCAGCATGCTCCAGGTTGGCTTTGGCCATTCCATCCTGACAACCACTGAGATCTGGACCAGAGCAGCTTCGGGTCACTTGGTTTCACTTAGTCTATGACAAGATATGGCTTAGATATGATGGCATTAATGCATGGTAATGATGGTAATGCTAGATATGGGGCAAGATGCAGCTTCACCATGCTTCACAAAGTTACCGGCTTCACAAATGTGTCGCCAAAGTTCTGATGTGCTCGGCGCACCTTGAGCTCTTGGGAGGTCAGCAGGCCATCGCCGTTGGCATCCAAGGCCTCAAAGGTTTGCCTCAGCACCTGCCGGGGTCAACTGAGTCCAAACATGTCGAAACATGTCGAAACATGTCGAAACATGTCGAAACATGTCGAAACCAAAGGTTGGGAACTTGGAGATCTTGGAGATCTTGGAGATTGATCTTGCGAATTGTCACGATTGAGTCAGGATCAGTTGATAATTTGAGCACATGGATTTTGAGATTGGGAGTGGCTCGGAGATGGGAACGGAACCTCACGTTCTTTGTGTGGATCCAAAAATGCTTTGGACTCGTGCTTTAACAAAACTTTGTTTGCAGATTTCAATTCCAAAACGTCGTCAATTTTCAGATCTGGCAAAGTAATATGACATAATATAACAATCTACTGAAGAGATAAATGCAGACCATTGGCCACCTATGGCCACCTATGATACTATTGATGCCAGTTCCTCTGAAATGTTCCATTGGTCAATACAGCCTCCATTGGCTGGTCGCATGAATGGAAGACTAAGCCAGTCACTGAGTTAAGCAAAAAAAAAAACATGCTTCCAGCAGGTCACTAGAAATAATATGAAATAATGTGTTATACATACATACATGTACATACTTACTTGAGTTCTTCCCCTAAAGTGTCCTGCAGGCCCTCCCCACCAGAACGAGCCCACCTTAATTTTCTCCTCACTCAGCTGTCCAGCAATGATGTGCAGAGCAGCCTTCCGCTGCACGTTGGATCATCTCAAAATCTTCAAATGTTAATCCTCAACGGTTGACAAATTCAAACTTTATCATACTTTACCCAAATCTGGATAAAACACAGGTGCTAAAACCCAGGTCTTCAATAATGTCCAATCTTGTCGAATTCTGGCCAATATCTGCACCGATCAACCTGTCAGCTATCGGCAAACTGAAATGTAGTTGCAATGACAAGGAAGCCAGTGCAGTGGCAGGGTCTTGGGCCAATGCAGCGCGCGATGTTTTTTTGCCAAACTTCAACAGTCCCCCTGGACGTTACGGCGTTACGGCCTCCCGGCCTGAGGGTATAACAATACAATCTTGAGAAACATCTTGAGCATAATGCAGGCCATGCAGGCACAAGTGAGGCTTTCAGAGCTATAACACCCACCATGTCCTGCCTGAATTCGCCAACATCTTAGTTGGTTGGAACATGCTAGCCTGGTCAAGCAAGCGCCTCTGAGCTACGGCTTGAAAGTGAACAGGCCACAAAAGCAACTCTCTACCCATCACGTGCCGCGGCCAGAGGCACCACTATGCGTGCTGACCCACAAAACTAGGGACCCGAAGGACTTCAGAAAGCTCAGAACGATGCTCAGCGCCAAAGCGTGCAGTGTCGGCCACCAGAGCAGCGAACACCGCCCCACCAGCCGTTGCGGCAAGTCACCCAACGGCGGCATCCTCCACCTGCGGGCCTTCTCCTGCCAGGTCCATGCCAGGGGCGTCTGCGTCCTGGACGGTGAGCGGATCTCTCCTTGTCATTCTCAGCTTCAGCTTCCTCAGCTTCAGCTTCAGGTGCTTCACCATCCAGTTCCTCAAGGACCACTCCCACCTCATCGATCTCATCCTTTGATCCTTCACTGTCTCCACTAGCAACGGACTCACCCTTTTGCGCTGTGGCATCCAGCTCCTTTTCTGGAACCCCAACAGCATCTGCGTCAGTTGGTCCCTCTGATACTTCCTTGTCTTTGTTAAGATCAGACTCCTTTTCTGGGACACCGACGCCTGCTGACTCTCCCCGGAGGTTCTTCACTGGATCGTTGCTCTGTACTGGAACACACGCGAGGGTCAAGAGAAAGAGAACGTTCAAGAGTTTCATGACTACAAGAAGCCTCAAGGGTGTCGCACTTTTTTTGAAGAGTGCTGGTCCGTTTTGAGCCAAATGGACTTCAAATCATTCACAATTCTTGGTATGCCTGCAGCAATTTACTGGAATGTTACCATGCAAAAGAGTACATGGAACTACCAGATACAGTATAACATTTGGAACCTGTCAGCTATCGGCAAACTGAAATGTAGTTGCAATGACAAGGAAGCCAGTGCAGTGGCAGGGTCTTGGGCCAATGCAGCGCGCGATGTTTTTTTGCCAAACTTCAACAGTCCCCCTGGACGTTACGGCGTTACGGCCTCCCGGCCTGAGGGTATAACAATACAATCTTGAGAAACATCTTGAGCATAATGCAGGCCATGCAGGCACAAGTGAGGCTTTCAGAGCTATAACACCCACCATGTCCTGCCTGAATTCGCCAACATCTTAGTTGGTTGGAACATGCTAGCCTGGTCAAGCAAGCGCCTCTGAGCTACGGCTTGAAAGTGAACAGGCCACAAAAGCAACTCTCTACCCATCACGTGCCGCGGCCAGAGGCACCACTATGCGTGCTGACCCACAAAACTAGGGACCCGAAGGACTTCAGAAAGCTCAGAACGATGCTCAGCGCCAAAGCGTGCAGTGTCGGCCACCAGAGCAGCGAACACCGCCCCACCAGCCGTTGCGGCAAGTCACCCAACGGCGGCATCCTCCACCTGCGGGCCTTCTCCTGCCAGGTCCATGCCAGGGGCGTCTGCGTCCTGGACGGTGGGCGGATCTCTCCTTGTCATTCTCAGCTTCAGCTTCCTCAGCTTCAGCTTCAGGTGCTTCACCATCCAGTTCCTCAAGGACCACTCCCACCTCATCGATCTCATCCTTTGATCCTTCACTGTCTCCACTAGCAACGGACTCACCCTTTTGCGCTGTGGCATCCAGCTCCTTTTCCGGAACCCCAACAGCATCTGCGTCAGTTGGTCCCTCTGATACTTCCTTGTCTTTGTTAAGATCAGACTCCTTTTCTGGGACACCGACGCCTGCTGACTCTCCCCGGAGGTTCTTCACTGGATCGTTGCTCTGTACTGGAACACACGCGAGGGTCAAGAGAAAGAGAACGTTCAAGAGTTTCATGACTACAAGAAGCCTCAAGGGTGTCGCACTTTTTTTGAAGAGTGCTGGTCCGTTTTGAGCCAAATGGACTTCAAATCATTCACAATTCTTGGTATGCCTGCAGCAATTTACTGGAATGTTACCATGCAAAAGAGTACATGGAACTACCACATATAACATCCAGTCCTGTGGTCATCTGCAAAAACCCTACACGGTGTCAGTGGGCCTTCTTCATCTTGTGCTGACTTTGGAAGGCTCGCAAGTTGTCTACAATGCCTGCCTGTCAGAGTTCAGATTCCCAGTGCCCAAAAGAGGAACCCAACATTGATCTCCCAAAAGGCCCAGGGGATCCTTTCAACTAAGCCTCCATCAACTTTTAAGCTTGGGAAAATTGGACATCACCACCGCCCGTTGAAGGCAAAAAGATTTTCAAGATCTGGGCCCAGGCCCTCAAAAAGAAAATCAAAACGCCGTCCTGAAGTGAAACGGTCGTGGCCCGGGGCGCACGGCACCTGCAAGCACGTTTCAAACTGCTCTGTTTCCAAGTGGCATCCAACTTGTTGAATCCGCTCTCAAGCTGTTTGAATTTGAAGCTCTTTAGAAAAGCCTTGCAATGACAGTACCACCCAGAAACACAGCTCAAGTTATCCGTAAAATGTGTTAATTTCAGGTCCATATATGTCCATTTATGTCCATATAATCACACCTGCCCTGGTTTCACCTTTTTTCAACGGCCAACTAAACATCCGGCTCCTTGGGAGCTGCGGCAGTGAAAACTATTGAGTAGATGCACCTAGTGGACCGAAAAGTTCAAGGATTTCACGTATGGAAAGGTGTAGGTTTTCTATGGTTTTCTTTCAGAAATGGTCCTCCTTATGACCAAGGTTTTCCACCGTGGAAAACAAACGATGCAAATTATGCAGAACTTTTCGGTGTGACTGGAATCGACATAGCTGACAAAAAACAGTTTCGATCGCCACCGGCATTGCCACTGACTTCAGACCATCATCCGCCGTGCGTCGGTTTCTTTCCATCAGGCCGCCTGCAGCAAGCGCATGTCCAAGTGGGACTGGCCTTTTAACCTCTGAAAAAGTCTCGCAAATGATTCCATTTCCTTCTCTGTGGGCTATTGTAGGAGCCAGAAACCCTTGGATCCCTTGATTTCATTTGCATTTTCCAATCAATTTCCCAATACACACAACATACATATACAGTCATATACATACATTGTATGACATACATATCTCAATTGTAAAACATTGTAAAATATTGTAAAATCATATTGTATAACGTCTCATATTGTAAAATCATGTCTCATCATTTCTCAAGACTTCCTGCCATCGCCTGGTCTTGAGCACCTGAAGGGAACGACCCAGTGACTCCACGGTGGGTGCAGCTCCGAGACCTCGCAACTCGACCAAACGAGGCCGTGAGCGGTCAATTCGGTTCAACGATCGTATGGAAAAGGATGTGTGCAAAAAAAGAGGCTTAAACAAATGAAGTGTAGTATCTAGTGTATAGATATAATGATATAGTGATATAGATATACAGTATAGTATAGGGTATTGGTGCCATTGGTGCAGTATCCCCAATGATTTTTAAGGATTGGTTGGTATGTTGCTATCTGTCACACGCCAGAACCCATCTGCGGCCCACGCCTGCTCCATACAGCGCTTGACCTTCCAATCTCCTGTGACTCTCGTGGCGAGGACTCATCGTGTCACGAGAGTCCCAAAGGAAAAGGCAGACTGTGTTTGTTTTGGATGATTGGAATTCAACGATTCAACGGATTCTTCAGTAAAACTCGCTTTATATCTCAAAGATTCTCAAAGTCTCTTTCATCGATGGAAAAGACAAATTGCCAGTTTCATCCATTTCAGCCCAAGTTGCGCTTCTTTTTACAAGTCTGCAACAATGGCTGCGGACGCGGTGAGCCACAACACGGTGCAACAAAGTATGGACACCGGTGCCACCGTGATCCGTACCCTTGGATTTGAGGCAAGGGTTGGTCCTCATCCAATCTGAGGAATGGTTCTGGTACTTCAGCATCTGGGCGAGAGGAAGCCATTGATCAGTGTGGTGTTCAAATCCACTTCTGATATCAATAGGAGTTGCTAGACAATCATCTTTAAACCAAACATTGCCCAATGACCATAGACATGTTCCCAATAATCTACATACAAAATATCAAATGAAGCTTTAACATTATGCATTAAATTATATATTTGTGCAAGATTTAAAGACCTTTGTTTCGTACCAAAAAAAACACCGTGGCCCACTGGGCACTTGGCACCTCCGGGGGTGCCGAAGACGGACATGCGGACACCGTGGACGCCTGGCACTATCTTGAAACGCCCTGCACTCGGCAAAGTCAGACTGTATCCAAAATGACATAATTGACAACGAACAACATCGAACAACATGATGACATAATGACATAATGAATCATAGAAATGATTGGTCTTTTGATAGTTCCGATCACCAATCCTGTTGGTTGCGATTCTGATCGGTCATCCCATCTTGCTTCAAGGATATTGCGCGATTCTGATCGATTTAGGCGTCATCCCATCTGCAAAGGTGCACCGATGCCTCTTCTGGCTGCAAATCCGTAAGAGGCAAGCCCAGAGGCCTCCCACTTGGGACTTCGGAATGAGTTGTGTAAACAAGTTTCGGAATGAGTTGGCATCAGGCAAAAGATGTAGTGCCAAAAATCGAAAATAGACCCACAGCCCCGTTTTGGCACGGCATGATCCCATCTGTTTTAGCCAGGTGCCAGGCTGATTCAGCTCCAGCTGTGAGAGACGCGTGGCGCCAATGCCTCTGAAGGAACCAAAACCTGGGTACATATGTAATATGATAAATATATTTTTTGTTTTTTGCCCACAAACATCTTGCATATCATCAAACCTTAGATTAGATTGTTTGATGACATGATTATTACCTCATCTTGGAGAATCGAAGAGGAAATATGTTTATGGGCCCCAATCGCAAATACTGGAGAGAAGCATACCCACCTGTTTCTATAATTCCTGAGTTCCTTAAAACTGGGGAAAATATTAAAACTGTTCGTTTTGGGGTTGTTATGTTTTTTTTGTTGGCCCCTGTTAGCCTGTTTGTTCCATGATTGTTGTCCCTCGTATTTCTAACATGTTGAACGCTGTTCCAAAATTGTGTATTCTATGAATATTTTTCCGGGGGCACTGCAGTTGTATAATATGTACATATAGGGTATGTATGTATGTATGTATGTATGTATGGATGGATGGATGGATGGATGGATGGATGGATGGATGTATGTATGTATGCATGCATGGATGGATGGATGGATGGATGGATGGATGTACAAGTGGTAACATCCTACAGAGCCTGATACCCACAATGACCATTCTAGAACAGTCACCGACATCATTATCGAACAGAACAGACTATAGATCAAATAAGACTTGGAAAACGAACTGCAAAATAAGGATCGCAAAAGTACGTTTGATTTCCCTTACTTTTGCGATCCTCTTTTTGTTCCATTCATCTGTCGGGGCCTGGATTAATGTCTAAAGTCAACTCCGAAGCACTAGGCACCTGTAACCAAACTGGCAATGGCACTGCATTGCGACTCCCTGGCGCACTGTGTCAGTTTCGGGAACGGTTTCCACGTTTTACCAACGTGGCTAGAAAGAGAAAATTTCTCAGCGCCCCATACACATGATACACCATTTCGGCCTGGGAGAGTTGATCCATTTGATGTCCATGTAGGTTGGATGTCGCCTGCAGTTTGGGAAAACGAAGAACTCAACCAACTTTTCCGAGATCATCCCTTAAGATATTGGGAAATCCGTTGTCAAGGCTGCCAATTTTCCGACAAGATCTGACGCAATGATTTCAAGTTCAGGAGCAACTGGTGATTGAGACAGCTGATCGTAGCAAGCCACGATTCGTTCACGGATTGAGCAAGTGACCGAGGACTGTGTCATACGAAATATAGAAATTGTTGGGCAATGGGCGAGTTTTAAATGCGCAACATGATCCCTGCCAAAGCCAGCATGTCCACTTCCCAATATAGCAGAAATTGTCATATATAACTCCGTGATGACTGAGTGATGACTGAGTAATGATTGAGTGATGATTGAGTGATGATTAAGTGATGACCAAGTGATGATTGAACGATGATTGGGTGATGATTGATGATTGAGCGATGATTGAGTGATGGTTCAGTGATGATTAAGTGATGGTTAAGTGATGACCAAGTGTTGATTCAGTGACGGTTATGTGATGATTGGATGATGATTACGTGATGATTGACTGTTGGTTGGATGATGATTAAGTAATGATTAAGTGATGATTAAGTGACGGTTAAGTGACGGTTAAGTGATGGTTAAGTGATGATTTGGTGGTGGCTAAGTGATGATGAAGTGAGGGTTAAGAGATGATCAAGTGATGATTAAGTGATGATTAAGTGATGCTTGAGTGATGGTTGAGTGATGATTAAGTGATGATTCAGTGATGGTTCAGTGATGGTTCAATGATGAATAGGTGATTCAGTGATTGGTCAGTGATGATTAAGTGATAATTGAGTGATGATGACGTGCAGATTACGTAATGATTACGTGATGATTGAGTGATGGTTGGGTGATGATTGAGTGATGATTAAGTGATGGTTTAGTGATGATTTAGTGATGAATAAGTGATGATTAAGTGTGATGATCAAATGTAGTGATGAAGTGATGGTTAAGTGACGATTGAGTGATGACCAGGTGATGATTAAGTGCTGATTAAATGATGATTAAGTGTTGGTTAAGTGATGGTTAAATGATGATTAAGTGATGATTAAGTGATGATTAAGCGATAATTAATGAATAAGTAATGATTAAGTGATGGGTAAGTGATGATTAAGTGATGATTGAGTGTTGATTAAGCGACGAATAAGTGAAGATTAAGCGATGATTCAGTATGGTCAAGTGATGATTAAGTGATGATTGAGTGATGATTCAGTGATGATTAAGTGATGGTTAAACCGAGATTAAGTGATGATTACGTGATGACGAAGTGATGATTAAAAGGGTTGTTAAGCGATGATTAAGTGGTGGTTAAGTGATGATTAGGTGATGATTAAGTGATGATTAGGTGATGATTAAGTGATGACAAAGTGATGACAAAGAGATGATTAAGTGATGATGAAGTGATGATTAAGTGATAATTTTGTGCTGATTAAGTGGTGATTAAGTGATGATTGAGTGACTATTACTTAATGATGACTAAGTGATGTTCAAGTGATGATTCAGTGATGATTAAGTGAGATGATAAAGTGTGATTATTAAGTGATGAATGGGTGATGATTAAGTGATGATTACGTGATGATTGGGTGATGTTGAGTAATGATCAAGTGATGGTTAAGTGATGATTGAGTGATGACTGAGCAAAAATTAAGTGATGACTGAACGATGAAAGAGTGATGATTGATGATTGACTGATGATGGGGCAGTGGTTAAGTGATAATTCAATCATGATTAAATCATGATTAAGTAAGGATTGAGTAATGATTAAATGATGATTAAGTGGTGGTTAAATCATGACTAAGTGTGATGATCAAGGTTTGATTGAGTGATGATTGGGTGATGATTCACTGATGATTACGTGACGATTGAGTGATGATTAAGTGATGATTAAGTGATGGTTAAGTGATGATTAAGTGATGATTAAGCGATAGTTCAATGATGATTGAGTGGTGACTGGGCGATTACAAAGTGATGACTAAGTGGTTATTAAGTGATGATTAAGTGATGGTTGAGTGATGATTAAATTTTGGTTAAGTACCGATTAAGTGATGATTAAGTGGTGTTTCAGTGATGGTTAAGTGATGATTCAGTGATGATTAAGTGATGTTTGAGTGATTATTACGTGAAGATTAGGTGATGGTTACGTGATGGTTGAGTGATGGTTGGGCGATGGTTAAATGATGATTCAGTGATGATTAAGCGATGGCAAAGTGATGATTAAGTGGTGAATAAGTGATGATTAAGTGATGGTTAAGTGATGATGAAGTGATGATTTAGTGATGGTTAAATGATGATTGAGTGATGTTTAAGCCATGACAAATTGATGACTGAGTGGTGATTAAGTGATGATTAAGTGATGGTTGAGTGATGATTAAGTGATGATTGGGTGATGATTAAGTGATGATTAAGTAGTGGTTAAGTAATGATTGAGTGATGATTTAATGCTGAAGTGATGATTTAGTGATGGTTAAATGATGATTGAGTGATGTTTAAGCCATGACAAAGTGATGACTGAGTGGTGATTAAGTGATGATTAAGTGATGGTTGAGTGATGATTAAGTGATGATTAAGTGATGATTAAGTAATGGTTAAGTGACGGTTAAGTGATGATTAAGTGATGATTAAGTCATGATTACGTGATGGTTAAGTGATGATTAAGCGATGATTAGGTGATCGTTGGGTGATGGTTAGGTGATGATTAGTGTTCAATGACATTTTCAGTTGATCAGACGGGAGGTCACTGAGAGCCAGACACCAGCTCGAAATTGCCGATCTTCCCAAGGCGTTTCCGGCCCCTGGGAATCAAAATTGGATTCTGACCATCTTTCCTGGGTCGTGTGAGTCATGTGGGTCACATTCACCCTCTCTGCCACGCTCTGCCACTGGTAGCAGCCGGTCGTATCATATTGGCTGAGGTTTTGATGGTTCTCCACTGATTATCTCCAGAATCTGAGTCTTTTGATTGTCTGTGTTTTGTTTGAAATCAACTTCCACACCGGGTTCCCTCCTCACAAACCTGCCGAGCACCCAACTTTGGAGGATGCTGCGTTCGCGCGCGGACGTACTGCAGCTCTTCTTCACTTTTCCTGTTTTACAGATCTTTACCGTGTAAGTTTGGCCGATGTAAATTGAATAAATTGATCATTGTCCAACTCCACTGATCAAGATAAGTCAAGAACGCTTGGAAAACCCTCTATCGATTCTCTTTGCGACCCCAAGGCACCTCGCCCAAATGAGCTCACTTTGTACACGAGTGTACTCGGAAGAAATGCCTCACGTGCAAAGAAATATGCCTTGGGTTTGGTCCTAAATTCACTTTAAAAAAAGGACCCCTCTGCTTTCAAAGCAGCGCCTGGGAGATTTGGGCGGCCTCCAGCACCTTGAGAAGGACCTCACCAGAGCCGTATTATTTCCCCCCAAAAGTCTGTCAGCGTTTTTGGATGACACACAGATCTAAAGTTTGGGCACCTGAGCTTTGATGGGCCATTTGAATTCAGTTTGGGTAGATTTGTATGTTTCCCAATGTCCAAACACACCTGTTTGTCACAAACACCATCACACCAGATGCTGCTCTCCAGCCCCCATGGGTTGCACCTTCCGGCATTGCAACAGCGCCCGCGGCTAATGCTTGCGGTGGACGCGCGTAGCAGGACGTGATGAATAGATGAAAAGCGCTTCGTCAAAAGCTTGACTAATTGTGTTTTGCACTGGCAGTGAATCCTATCTTCCGTTTCTGCACAAATCGGAATATGGTATGTGCTCAACTGTCTCCAAGTTGCACAGCACTGCTATGTACATCTAAGTCACCTAGAGCCAAATGGACAATTCACAAAGATCTGAGGAGTCATCCTTTTCCAGCTTCAAAACATCTCATAAACATTCAAGAACTACTTATCAATAACAATGGTTCGTCATATTCATCGTTGAGTCATGAGTCACACCGACACCATTGATTGGCGCCTGATCCATTCGTGCTGCAGCGCCTGCTCCGGAGAGGGCGGCAACGCAAAGGTGGTACTACGAATAGCAGTGTTGGAATTGGGAAATATGTCCTGCTAAGTTCCTGGTGCGAACGATTTCACCCAGGAAATTCTATGTAATTTTCACCTGTGACTGCACAAAGTGGATCTGCAGAGGAGTTAACCAATACTGATTTCTCGCTGTCGTTTGGTAAGTTCTGACACCTTGGCTTCTGGAGAACTTTGCGGAGCCACTGATAATAGACTCCTTCGAATATGTGAAAATCCACCAAATCTGACAACATCAAGACAACTGCCCGCCTGCTCCGCTGTCAGGCGTTGCATCGGATCAAATTTCAACAGCATCCTGATCAGCCCCTGGGCACAGGGCCGTGGCTCAAATGGCTTCAAGATAGAAAATGATACAAGCAACCTTTTCTCAGACATGGCCACACTGTAAAAATGTCGCCATTTGGGCCGTCAATTCAATGTTGATTGTTGATATGTATATGTATATGTATATATGTGCATATACATTGATGAAATCACGGCACGGATGAAATCGTGCACAAGGGCCACTGGTGTTTTCCACCAGGCGCAGCAACGTAAGCACAGCTCTCCTTAGAGCTGGCTCAAGGGCCCCGGGGCAAATCGGAAGATGCATGTCGATCTCATATGAACCCAGCTGGATATGGACGTATCAATCCATCATGCATGCAACCATCAAGCTTGCAATCCACTGGTTTTTACACGCCCTGGATCGGCACTTTGCAGTATCGAATTGCACTCACAGGCTCACCCATTGTATGGCACCATGGACTCTGTCAGTCCGCAAACTCTCGCACGAACGGTGCATCTGCCTCTTCATCCATCCATCCCATACGCTCTAAATAAAGCGCTAGGTCAACTGCAGGAGTGATCTTCTTCTTAACAATGCCCGACCCACCAGTTCTGAAGGCCTTTTTGATCCACTTCAGGTAGGCGCAAATCTCGGCAGATTTCTTGGCATCCTCAATCAGTCCCACACAGGAGCGGCCATTGGGCGACCATTCTTTCACCTTGTCCATCGTGCAGAAGCTCTTTCCCCATGCGATCTCATTCAATCCCTTGGGCAAAGGAATCTTGCCATTGATGACTGGCAACTGCGGCATGGTCTGGTTCTGCATTTTGGGCATAGGAGCTTCATATCCTGGGTTGCCCACATAGGACGGTGCTGGCTGATAGCCACTGTGCGGATAGTTGTCCCCATAGTAGAAGACATTCCAGCTTGACGTACCATCATCTCCATCATCCTCAACTTCACGAAGACGCTTCGTAGCATTGGTCATGTTCTCACACTGTTGCGGCAAGCACGTTGGGGCACATAGTTGGACTTGGGAGCGTGGGACATCTGATAGGCGGTCAGGACCCGGTTGGTCTGCTTGAACTTGATGGCTCGGTGCAACAACCCAGTCGCAAGACAAATCTCACGCTGGCTGAGCGGCCCCTACTAGCGGCGACCTTCTTGGCTGGAGGCGCTGACACGGTGCTAGGCAAACGTATTCACACCTGAGTGGATCGGATCCCTCTCGTTCCGGCCCAGCTTGACACCAAAAGCTCTGGCATTTGGCTCGCTTACAAACTGAACAACGTTCACACTGCTGGCAAAAACGAATGTGCATACCTGCAGTTTATTTGGTTACGACTAAAGTCCCATCCAACTTATCTATACAAAAACTTATTGTCCCATTATGGTCTTACACAAGCAGGGTGTGGATCGCCATCATTGGCGTGCAGCTCTGGATTACACGGCTTATTGCCCTATACATTTAGCTACCTGCATTCACCAAGTATGGACACTATGCACTTCTTTTGGATGAAACTATATATTCATTTGGTGGAGGTTCGGACACTGACTCTTGTGCTTTCTCCTTTCTTCCGGACTGTGTGCCTATGGTGATGTGGTAAGTACCACCTTCCAAGATCTCAAACAGCGGCTTCGTGTCCCCACGTAGTTTTGTGAAACAGTCAGCACTCATTCTCAAATTGTTAACCCAAAACGCCAGTATGTTCTGATTTTTCATTGTTTCCTTGGCAATGGCACAATCAATTTGGAGGCGGAGCTCAATAGAAATGGCTTGAATGCAGCAGCTACGTGTTATTGCAGCATAGAAACCTGTGCTATCTATTACCAACCCGGCTGGATAGTTTGGAGTTTGGGATCTAAAGGCTTTGGGGCTGACACCACGGAGTGTCTCTTCAACCAAAGCTTGAGCCTGTCCAATCCATTTTGCCCGGCTAGGGTTTCAGCTGCAAGGGACGATCTCACTGCCCTACGAAGCTTGTGGGATTGCCAGTCAACAACCCAGGCTTTGGTTCGTTTCCTCTCAAACATTTCTTGGGCAATTAGCCAAAGGGCTTAACCCCCTTGGGACTCACCATTGCCCCTTGTACCCCAACCTGCATCAGCTAAGCAAAGAATTCTCCATTGGCTGTCTGAGATGTTGCTTGAGTCCTGAGGCATACCTTGCTTTCTTTCATTTCTCTACAGGCCTTGTTATACATCTGAACATGTGCAACAGTTCCCTTATCCTGAGCACCTAGCAAGTAACACACAAGAAACGACTGGTCTGGCCGAGTGCTGTTGGCTACCCATGCCAATTGTCCGGCACAAGTTCGAAAGATCTTGGGATCTTGAAACGGTGTTGAGGCATTTCCCAACGGCTTTGTTGGTACTGGCTCCAGGGCATCTATGTATGCTTCCTGACCTACTTCAATCTCCATAGTCTGAAGGTTTTGGCGGATTTCCACTCCGTTGTATCGGATGGGGTAAGTCCTATATTCCCCAAATGGCATCTTTTTCTTGAATGCTTTCAGGGTCTTATCCATTTCAGGGGTCCCACTTGCTATCAAGTCGTCAACATGGATACCACAAATTCCCAATAGTATCCCATTTCTCCTCAAGGTATATAGGCAAGGGTCTAGCTGGGAGCAAAACATATTAACCTCAAGTAGTTCCCGAGATAGCCGCAGGTACCAGGCTCTGGGGGCTTCGGCTAGGCCGTACGCTGCGTTTTCGGATCCTGCTGAATGCAACACCCACAAGCCAGGACAGGCTATTGCAAACCTTGGGTGCAGTGAAGCACTTCACGCGGTTTCCAAAGGCGCAGAGCTGGAGCTTATTGCGCCGCTACCGTGATGAAATCATGGCACGGATGAAATCGTGCACAAGGGCCACTGGTGTTTTCCTCCAGGCGCAGCAACGTAAGCACAGCTCTCCTTAGAGCTGGCTCAAGGTCCCCGGGGCAAATCGGAAGATGCATGTCGATCTCATATGAACCCAGCTGGATATGGACGTATCAATCCATCATGCATGCAACCATCAAGCTTGCAATCCACTGGTTTTTAAATATAATTATATATATATATTGCACGAAATATCAATATATATATAATATATAATTATATATAATTATATATATACACATGTGTTGATCCATTATTAGCAGTTTTGCTCCTGTTTGACCTGCCTTCAAATTGAAAATTCGAGAACAATCTCCTCGCCTTGGCATCTTCGGAGATGTGCCTCCAGTCCTGGCCACAGCATCATTGGAATCATCCAATCATCATCCTAATCAAGGTCCTTATCTATATGATGCTGCCAAATCTTCCTTTGTTCATTCCTTTGTTCAAAATCACAAAATCTTTGATTTGTTCATTGCACTGACAGAATCTCCTTGTTTTCAAAAGTGAAGTTGCCACTCTTAACTTTCTGGAGAACCTGACTGCACGCGTGGGATTCACAAACACCAGTGGTAATCCTACGGCCAGAATTTCGGAGGCATACTACGATCCTGCAACGGTGTTGTTTCGGACGTTCTAAAGAAAAACCGCTCTTACCACATATGTTGATAAAAGAATGGAAAAATGCTTCATGGTGTTTCATGATGCTTCTTCCTGCGACATCCCTCGGTCATGGACCTCTTGACACGCACACTGTTTTTTCCATGCAATAGTTTATGATACAATCTAAGTCACGGGTTTCTTTTCTCCCCTTTTGACACTCTATATTGCCAATACATGCCAATACTATGTTCTATGTTCAAAGAACGTGGGAATTTTGATTCCTCATGAGACATTACTGTTTTCTCTTTTGAAACTCTATCATCAATATTTTGTTTCAAGTCAATGGCGGTTTTGGTTGCTCATGAGACAATTTAAGTACTGTATATTTCAGTACCGGTTTGTTTATTTTCCCTTTAGAACGCTATATAACGCTATGACATGCTATGATCACTATGTTGTCGTTGGGAAGTGGTGGGGTTGATTCCGCATGAGACAATCTAATAAGTAACGGTCCTCCTCTTTACCCTTGGACCCTTGGCTGGTTGATGGGAATGGGAGGCTGGACGCTTGAGTTGTACCAGTGGTACAACCCCAGCACTGTACTAATCTTACTTGTCCGGAGAAGAGGTTGTTAAATCCGGAAAGACAAAAGTCCACCAGTTGCTGCCAACTGTTTTCCACCTCCTGGTCTGTTTTCCCATAAAAGGGAGGATAGCCACAGAGCAAAGTATACCTCAGGGTTCACCAGAATGAAGGATTCAGAGACCACACTGCGGCACCGTCTGTCAGCTATAAGATGCGTGGAGTATCGTGACAGTATCGTGACAGTATCGAGGAGTCACGAAAAGAAGTGCTTTTTATATTATTTTTATTTGCCTTAGGGACATCCTTCAACTGCTTTGACTTAGGACAGTGTCACAAACGGCAACAGCTGGCCCAAAATCCTGGCGTGTCAGCGTCCTGAGTTCCACACATTATCACGCCGCAACTCCAAATGTCGCAGGAGTGATTATAACTGCCTTGCAACACCTCAAAATCAGCACATAGCAGTGCCATGACCAGATGCGACAGGTCTTGCATAAACAGCACAGAACCTGCGGCGCCACATAGTACGGCGTTCCAGCTTTCGTGGACATTGCCTGTGACAAGGACATCCTGCTTCAAAACTGCGCTTCTGACGCTTACAGTTCGGATTGTTGCTGCAAAAGGAAACGTAACCACACATATTGCAGCTATCCTCACTACAGGTCAGACGGTAAGATGAGGTTAAACTGCTGAAACTTATTACAGGCACAATTTGGACGGTTGGCCTCCCACAAGACTCCCACAAAGCTAAGAAAGCCAAGACTTTCTATGACTTTAAAAAGCCTCTAAAAAGCGCAAGTTTGGAAAGAAATGGTTTGGGGTTCCACAATTTCGGGATCTGCATCGCTGCATCGCAGAGCGTGCCTTTCCATTGCCCATCAGACTTGACAAGCCAAAGTCCTGCGCAGGGCCACGCAGCTTCCAAAATTCATGGGAATTCTCTCAGATTCCCGGCAGCCCGCAGGGCCAAGAGTTGGCAAAAATATGGAATTATTATGAATTATTCGCAATGACTTGATGGTTTGAGCTTCTGGGTGCCCGGACAATCAACTTCAGCTGGTTCTGGTCGATGGGATCCTGTCACTGAGAATTGAGGCCAAAAAGAAAAGAGGCTCCGGAAAATCTGTCACATTAGGATGACATGCATGAAATATCATGAAATACCGCTCTCCTTCGAAAGAAACCTGGGTGCACCAGGGGCAATTCAATGGATGTCTGATGAAAAAATCAAACGTCATGCCATGATGCATAATTTGAAGCATAAAGGTCAGCCAAAAATTGTGAAGCCTTGAAAGAAATCCAGTCTGGACTATAGTTGTGCCGTATGCCGTATGGCAAGGAGCAAGAAGTTCTCCGGCTTCAAATCACGGTGACCTCAGAGTGCGGTGACCACAGTGACCATGGTGACCGCGTGTTGAAGATTCTGGAGACATCTGGAGACCATGAAACGGCAATGAAACGGCAATGAAACATCAAGAAATAATGAGGATTTCTGCTCAAAACTTCATAGTGAAACTGAGGGTCACACAAACACCATTCCTGAGCAAGCTGAAAACAACTCCCAACAACCCCCAGCAAAAAAGTAGGCTGGCCCTGTAGTCTACAGCGCATAGACTGCGTACAGCGCCTACAATACTGGTTGGAATGGGTTCAACCGTTTTTTCGCCAATTTTTGTCCAACCGTTTCAGCGCCGAGGTTCTTGTGCATGTAGAAGATCGCGTGCAAAATGTGTGACCTCACTGCCACACGAGATACGAAGATTGAACAAATTGAAAGCCCAATTGCCAAGGAGAGCACACCACAACTGCAGCATCCATCTCTCTGAAGTGACCAGCCTGAAAAAGCAAGGAGTATTTTGGGTGTTTTGGGTGTTTTGGCCACTGGTCCACATGACAGCCACTTGTTTATGCATCATGTTCAATATGCATGCAGAACTCAGAAAATCCAGTGTCCTGTCCGCCTTGCAAGCTTCTCACAAGTGCCTGCCGTCCTATGCTGCCACTGCGCCACTGCCTCAATGATCTTGTCAAAGAGTTCTCCGCCGGTACAAAGCTCCATGACCAGATACAAATGACGACCTTGCGGAGCTGTTCGCTGCGAATTCCTAATGTCCGCACCTTTGGCAATCTACTTGGAAAACAAAGGGCTGAGGTGCCCCAGTTTTACAAACAACGAAAGGGCAACGTGGTTTATGTGTTTTGCAACCAACTTCAGGCAAGAACAACCACAATAGATTCAATAGAGGTATGAAAGCATCCAAAATATCGCAAAAGACCACCAATTTCGCTGCCTAAATGCGCTGCAGAAACGAAAAACCAGAGCCATGATGGCCATGATGGCCATGAGCAAATTCGAAAATTTCGGGGGAAAGACATGGAGCCCATGGAGCCGCTGGAGCCGATCTTTGCTCCCAGCGATCTTCAAAAGTCTCGTAGAGTTTGATGATGTTCGGATGGTCCATGACCTGGCGCCAGATAGTGCGAGTGCGCTTGGGATCGCGATGCGATCTGCGGCCATCAACATGCAACTGCAGGTGGAAGCTGATCGTTTGAAACGATTTGCTGATCTGTGCATTGTGCCATCCCATGCCATGCCGTGCCGCTGTGCCCGTGCCTTCATGATGGCAATCTCCTGCTGGAAGCGTTCCATGTTCTTCACATGGCCCTGTGAAACGGTCACACGAAACTTCACATTGAGCATTGTGCCAAGAGTTCGCCATGTGCAGTGTGCCTCTGTGTGCCTCTGTGTGCCTCTGTGTGCCTCTGTGTGCCTCTGCGTGCCTCTTTGCAGCTTGTTGAAAAATGTTGAAAACAGACAAATATATGGTTTGAATTGGTTTGATGGTTTGCCATTGTCCAAACCAGCTCGTTCAGCTCAAATCGATCGGACAAAACGGTTTCCCATTTGTGAATGGTGCCCATAGTGCCCATAGTGCCCATAGTGCCCATCCTCACGTGCTCACCCTTCCGCCCCGGTCCGACCTTCGACATGGTCTTGACAGCACGCACAGCCCCAGTGGCCTTGTGCCTCATTGCTTCGTGGCTGTGTTTTCACTATCCTTTTCAACATGAATCACCATGTATGTTTCTCACAACAATGTTCAATGAGTTTCCAGCCTGGCACAAGACACAGATCCATAGGTCCCTTCTCCAAGCTTCTTGGCCTAAGATATTGTTGCCGGGGTTGCCAACCCAGAGACTTCAGAAGACAGAGCCTTGGAAGCGCTGAAATGGCCCCCTATATGTTATTGTTTACTTCAATGTTGAATCTGCTTTGTCAGAATGAATGAACTAACGAACGAATGTCATGTCATGTCATGTCATGTCATGTCTATGACATATGTGTACATATATGTATATAATATACATATATATATATACATATATATATATGTATATGTATATTTATATGTATATGTATATGTATATGTATATGCTCTACATATATGATCACACATGTATAAATATAGTTATATAAATGTACACAGGAAGTGATCTGAAGGGTTCCTTGCATGAACAACAAGGTGTGTTGTGGCACTGAAGTGCAGACCTCGATGTTGTACATGTCCCGAATGTTCCTGGGCCGCGACAGGATGTTTTTTCTGGTGCCATGCCTGCAGGCCATCGCTGCCAAGTTTCCCTGGATGATTCGGAATCAATTGCGCACGGGACAGGCAGTCCTGGGACGGCAAACATGTGATACCTGACCTCCGATTCGCATCGCACAATTTCACTGTTTCCACTGTTTCACTCATGTCGCATTTTGTTGTCCAATTTGAGTTCACCACTGCTTTCGCAGGTTTACTGGGCCTCGGCCGGAGAAGGGTCAAGGCTGATAGCTGCCAAGTGTTTCATTTACGTTGTGCACAACATGTGTAACCGTTCAAAATCCGGTCATGAGTCTGCTCGAATTTGTTCATAGCGCCAAGTATGCCCAAAACCTTTTCAAAATTAAATTTGATGGAAATTTCCATTGCAACCAGCACCGAAATCTTGGCCAATCCTGCAATTGTGTCTACTTGAAGGCTTGTGTACCAACTGGAGCAAGTCGTTGCGTTGCAAGAGGGGAAAATGCTGCAGCAGAAACGTCACAAAATCGAGCCAGGCACGAAGTGGTCTCCAGCATGGTTGGAAGGGAGACCTTCCTCAGTGAGAACAACAAAACATCGAATTTTCACAGTTTTTCACAGTTTTTCACAGTTTTTCACGTGCAAATTGGCAACTTCCAAATCCATCCCTTTGCCAGACTCCATGGATTCAATGGATTCAATGGATTCAATGGATTCAATGGATCGGAGTCCGGCATCAATTGTGATCAATTGTTGACATCTGTCAGGCCCAAAGCAAAGTATAACACAATTTCACACAAAACATCACAAAACCAATCCTGTTCTAAACGCGGTTCAAACTGTGAAATTGATCCATTTTTCAAAATCCTGTTTCTGCAAATTGATGATCACAAGTAAGGAAAAAAATGACAGTTGATTCAGTTGTTTTAACATGTTTTAATTGCACTGCTGTTGCATCGAGCTGCGAGGCATCAGGTCGTCCTGGCCTCTTCGCCACCACGGCAATCTCCTGACCGCAGGACTGCATACAGCAAACACATTTAAACACGATGTAAGCACTATAAAAACACTATGGCATGGATTATCTTGAAACCACCCCTTGCTTAACCTCACAAGTCCGTCAATTTTCATTTTCCACCCTGATTGAACACCGTGAACCAAATGTACAAAGTTTGAAGGGGCCAATGTGGTTTCTCCGCTGGTTTTTATGCCCGTGCCACATATGTACCACATCAACATCGCCGCCTGGTTTTTGCCTGAACAAACCCCCATGGCGACTTCGCCTGGCATTGAGAACGAAAGCGAACAAAAATCGTCGAGAAACGGCAGAAACAACATAGATCCATGGTCAATGATCAGAGTGGAAACGCGCTACTCTTGCAAACACATAATTAGAAATCCATTGCCTGATATCCCTCACATGTTGTAAAAAACTGGAACGCCAAAAACAAAGTATTCGTCTGGCATTGTGTTTTCATACGTTGCAAACCCGACTGCATGCCAAACTGGTGATGACTCTCCCACCAGCGTTTCCCGCCAACCTGGGGATGCCAAACCAATTGTTTCAACTACACTTGAGACCAGCAATAATGCAATCATTGATGGTTTCATTTGCTGAGGTTGCAAACTGCGTTTCATTCTTATATCCTACATTCAGCAAGGGTTAAATTATATTTCTTTGTTTGGCGCGGAATGCGTTTTTTGATTAGTTTTCAATCCAATCACGTCTTCAATTGTGAAAACACACCCGCACAAAAAACTCACAGGATTTGAAGCAAATGAAAAGGGTTGCAAAATATCAAGTTGAATCGTGTTTTGTTTGCATAAAACTGTGCAATGTGAAAATCAAATCATAATTTGCGAGTGTTTGTGCTGATCGTTGATTGTCACATGGTGCCCGAAAGTGTGTTCAATATGATTTTCAAGAAAAACATGCCCCTCTATTTTGACGGCACTTCAAAGCTACATGCGATGAAATCAAACATGTACTACAGTACCCTACACAATTTCAAACAAGCATCATGCAAACATTCCACTTCAAACACCCCAACTTGTGCACATGCGCGCGTGGGCATTTTCACACGTGTTGGCATGGGTTTGAATGACAAATTCTAGGAGAGGTTCCCTTTGAAAAATGCACTCGTTTTCGACTGTTAATTTCGATTTTGAGAAGCAATGGACGAAAATGACGCACCTGTTTTGTGCCCAAAAGGGCCTCGACGATCACAGAGTCATCCATGGTTTTCATGATGCTCAAACGTGACACATGACAACTAAATTCATCTCGATTTGTGCTGTGAGCTGTGTCATCCTTGCAAGTCTGGGACATGAATAGGATCTACGGTACAAATTTTTGCGTTCCTCCTTTGGAATTTGAGTCCTCCAATCAAAGTCCAGCCTTGTCAACGCATGTGCAGCCATAGTTTGCTGGATAAGCATATCCGTCCCAGTTTCTTTTCCATCATTGCATCAATGAGTTCATGTTTTCAACATGAATTTGAAACTGCAAAGACTCAAGCGAAAACGCTGCAGTCTATTTTCACTCGTGCCGAAAAGGGTCTCACAAGTTTCAACTGCACATGCTGTTCATGTCAGTCTATGAAGTGAAATGACAAATGCAACTCTCTTATCGATTTGTGCGTGTCATCCTGGCACATGTGAGTGGGCTCCACAACTTTCCACACTCCTCCTTTGTGGTTTGAGCGTGGCTCATTCCACAACTCCAAAATTTTCACTTCTCAACGCAAATTTCAGCTCTGCTGTCTGACTCTGCATCATCCAGTGAAAATGTTTTCGAATTCAATCTTTCAAATCATCAAGCTCTGCATGTCTTCGACATAGAGCCTAAACCTGTCTCGACGTTCATCATCTCCTCTGTTACGGTGAAAACGATATAGCCTCTGGAATACGTTTCTGATCTCATTTGAAATTCTTGTACTGAATCCCTCTGTTAGAGTGGAATCTAGCACCAGACAAATTGCCTGCTGAATCATGTTGGCCTCATGCCAGCGTTCTGCTGCAAGAGCTTGGTTCTGATCTGCCCTCATGTTCTGTAAGAGGGCTTCCATTCCAGTAGGTCTATTGGATTGGTTGTCCTCCACATCTGTTGTCGGACTTTCTTCTTCTCCTCCTTCGTGATCTTCTTGCTGATGTACAATTGGGTCAGTTGAATCTGCACGGTTTCTATGATTCCAAAGCACCAGGTTTCCTCTTTCTTGCGTTAGCATGTGTCGATACTGCTCGGCTGTCAGTTTAGCGTTCCTGACAAAACCACCTATCTCCATCAGTCCATACCTCACGCAATTTGAGGTTTCCTCCAGAGCATTGAAACCTTCTATAGTTTCCTGTTCAAAACCAGTCTGTCTAGCCATCACCGTGTCAATTCTGTTTGACGCATCTGTTGCCAAAGCGTTGCAATCTTCTATTCTTCCATTCAAATCAGCTGCATACTCATAGTGATCGGCTAACTGGATCTGGGCTTGCTCCAACTCGTTTGAAACTCCCAGCACTTGGTTCTCCAGTTTCTTGATTTTCTCTTCAATCCACTTCCATGCTCTGAATGCCAGCTTTGAAAACACAGTACCCATGCAAATCACCAAAACCGCAATTGCAAATGAAAACCATGATGTGTCCTTGGTCTCATTGTCCATGTTTGCGCAATCTGATTGCGCCATCGCCGCAACCGGTCCTGCTGACTCAAGACCCCCAGCAACTCCCATGGCAATACTCATGCGTAAAATGGCTTTGGAAATTCTTTTCAATTGTTGGGAATTCAATCTCCTCTCATCTTGAATTGCATACTCATTTACTCCAACCCTTGAAAAGTCTGCAATGAAAACCAGTTCACATTCATATAACAAATAGAACAACCTCTGTCTGCTCAAAGCTTTTGTCCCGATGTCTTCTCCTGTATCCATAACAGTTTTCCCGACAGATGCCTCACCTTACCTGACCCTTGCCTGCTTGCCAATTGCCTTGCTGAGCTTGAGTCGGTAAACTGAAAATGTTCCAAATGTTCATCCAAAACAAAAGCAGCACATGCCTTGATGAATATTCCATCGCAAACGCAGCTAACCAAACTATGAAGTTCACTTGAGCTAAGTGATACAACTCGTTGACTTCGGCTGATTGAATACATGAAGCATCCATTGATGAAGTGTATCCCACATGATGTTGAGCGACGTGTCTGCTTGTTTGCACTCCAATCGGCATCGCTGAAGCTCTCAAGTACCCATCGGTGTTGTCCACTAGAAATCACCTTTCCTTGACCATCTTCAGGAAACGGCAGGTGCAAACCAATGTCCCCCACAGATTTCATGAAGCCTACCATCTTGCGTGGGCGTGCAAGTGAAGTCAAAGTGGGAGCACTCATGTATGACGCCAGCTCCTTTATGGTATACATCAAATATGGCCTTTCACGGCCTGCATACAGACATAGGTCCACAACTGAGCGGTATCCCTTGGAGTCTTTCTCTGAAAGTCTTTTAGAATTGTCAGACAACTGGATACTTGCATCGCATGGCACTTTCTGTGATCGTGCCGATCCAAGCATCCTCTGAAACAAAGAAACCACTTTGTCCACAGTTGTACCCGAGGCTAAACCTAGGCCATCTCCAACCTCCATGATTTTCCTCCTCAGGAAGGTATGCTTGATTCTGGGCCTTTCAACTCATCATGACTCACTGAAAATCTCTCTTTCATCTTCTTCAGAAAAACGTTGTTCCAGAAGATTTCAATCCCACAAAAAGGATGTCATCGACATGTATCATGATCGTGGCCTCAGGTGTTCTCGCCAAGCATGGTTGCTCCGGGCAAAACTCGAAATTCATGCTTTCCATCAAGAATGATTTCAAACACAAAAACTACTGTTTTGCTTCAAGACGTTGGCCTGGGAGATTTCTCTTTATGATAAAAGGCTGTCCCTGCAAAACCACACGCACCGGATCATCTTGTTCAACCTGCAGAAAGGCATCACGCACATCCAAGCTTCCCATAACAACATCGTAATCCTCCTTGCATGCTGTCTCACAAATCTTGCTTTTCATTCCAAGATATTTCAACTGCAGAAGGTTTGCTGTATGGGTTTCAGTGGCAGGACTGAATGTGTCCAATCTTTTCGTTGTTGCAAATTCACGCGCCACCAGTCTGGATCTGCGCATCCATCTTTTCCTTTTACCTTCACCTTCTCCATAAGACTTCAAACGCCAATCCCTGACCATCTTTGTAGGCAAAGAACCTGTGATTTCGCCTTGGAACTCGGATTGTGGCACCAAGACTTGCATGCTGCACAAACGGTCAATCTCCACCTTATCTGCAAGGTCATCAATCCAATTTTCTCTGCCAGGCGCGGGTTGATCTGTGTCTGACCACAAATACTAGGGAGGTCCACTGGAGCGAAGCCACTTTGCAGCTCAGTTTGCGGTCCCAGAAATAGGACCGGCTAAAACAAGTTTGTTTGCAAAAAGATCGTGCGGCAGTCTTGTAGTTCACGGGGCGCTGATGCATGTCCACACGCATGTCGTTTAGAGTTCGTCAGGTGGACAGTTGAGTAGGTGAAGCCAGGCAGGTAGGTAGTC